ATGTAATCAATAGAGAAAAGTGTCTCTTCCCCCATTTGGGAATATGACATTTTCACATTCTACAATTTGAAAACCACCAAGATGATTTTAGCTTTTTGTAAATAGTCCATAGCTTCCCTTTAGGCTCCCTTAATTATCAGAAGGGTTATTTTCTATTGATTTAGGGTTATATTCCTGAATAATACATGCAGCTCAATTGTATCTGCATCTGCTTGCAACCCACAGCCTACGTTTACACTGGCTGAGACATGCATGCAGTCACACACCACATCTAGATTAGGACTAGACTAGGACCAGGACTAGACCAGGATTAAACCAGGACTGAAAGAGAAAAAAAAATCAAGTAAGATACCTCAGAGGTAAATCATCACCAGCACCAAAATATTACTATTGCAGATTCATTTTGTATTTATTTGCAAATTAGTAAATGATCAAAAGAGCCTAGTGGTCACAATGATTGGGCATTATATGTTGTGTTTTAATGTCCTATATTACACACAGTTGATTGTGAGCTTCAAGGCATGCTATAATGTTACCCCTTTTTTGTTTCATTCACACATTATGACACAGATCAGAAAATAATGTAATATGGGAAAGACAAAATGTTTATAGTTAATCTGCAGATTTTGTGGTGTGGTTCCCATTCATAAGATAATGTTTTATTTAAATAAATCGCAATGACAAATGACCTTATTTCTCATCATCCTGAAACACATAGACAAGCAAGATTTTGTACACAAAGGGGAGGGAGAGTCATCAGATTCAACATTTGTGGAGGAATTTTCCTATTGGCTATTTCCTAGTAAAATTCCAAATCTTAATTATTACAGGAATAGCCCCACTGTTCCCTGCCCCCATCCCAGAGGCCCATGAGCACATTTGGCCTATAATGTCTACCCAAATGACCAGATATGCAGGTTTATGGACAGACTGCTATTCCTTAATGGTTATACATTAAAAAGAGTAGCCTATCTTACAATGAAACAACGAAGCACATTCTGGTTAATATATGTATCCATAGAGTTGTATTGCCTTGTGTTCATAAAAAATAGGTGTGTCTGTGTCTTATACCAGGAGGATGTTCGTCGCGTAATGGTGGTTGGTTGTGCAGCCTCTTTGCGGTCTGCAGCAGTAGCACGCTCCACTCCCGCTGTTTCCCGCCGTATAAATGCGCAAGCGCCGCCTTCTCTTTCACCAGTTGTTGCTTCGACCCCGCCGGGTACACCACGCAACGCAAAACACGAACCTTTTCTTCGTTTTCTCCTCTCCTTAAACCTCTACCGTAACCATGGTAAGTACTTCAACGTCTTTAAAGCGGAATATTTTCAGATTTGCGCATAATTTCGGTCGGAATCTCCAATCTGGCTCGACTCTTATTTGGAGATGACCGTGATTTGGAGAAAACCGAATCTCACATTAAGAAATCGTTGCATTTCTACAATCAGTTTCGTATTTAGATGATCAAAACAAGAATATCGCCTCCTTGCGTAGACTTATTGCAGACAAATGAAACAAGCGTGCGTGCATTTGTGGGAGGATGAGAACAATGAAGGCACTAACGGCACGCAAGATGAAATAACGCATCAGGAGATCAATCTACCGTACAAAATGTTTAAAAACATGTTTTATGAATGACAATTGCTTCTGTTTTAGCATTTTTTACGATAAAATACACATGTAGGACCTATAAGTAGAATGATGCACCTTACAGATCGTCTTAGCCGGTCCGTGGATGGGGAGGGGCGAGATGGGTGGGGAGGATGATGGCACAGATTGCAGTAGCATAATCATTTATTTATTTATTTATTTATTTATAGGGTAGAACAACAACACAACTGTTTTATTTATCAATTTAAAATGCACCATGGGTGAAATATCTTATTATAACGAATTATAATTTATTTCTAATGTCTTATTTTTTAAGACATAAGTTTCCATTAGGCTATTTAAACAATGTCCACAATAGCACATTTGTGTTGTGTGCTCACTGCAATGAAACACGCGGTTGGGATTTCATTGAAGCTTACGTCCAGACGGAATGTTCTGGATTAGCTGCGTGCACGCGCATTCACATGTAAATGAATTTGCATCCGTGCGCGTGTGTGATGGAGAAAAGATGGAGGCGACAAAAAAGAAGCTAAAAGAAGCGAATAACAAAAAGCGCACAACAAAAGCCAGTGGTGCTTGCTTTGTGGAGGGGCAGGTTGCGCCGAGGGGGTTGGTTGGCAGCCGCTCCCCTGCAGAACCAAGGGAGGTGCCTCTGACGCACCACTGCCCCCCGCCGATAGAGGGAGCAGCTGTCACAACCAATTACTATGACGTCTTCAGAATGCAGTTTCGCAGGCTTTTGTTCTATATAATCTGTACCTCCATAACTTCATGTGTGTTTGCTCTTTTGTCCTCAGCGTGAGTGTATCTCCATCCACGTGGGCCAGGCCGGAGTGCAGATCGGAAATGCCTGCTGGGAGCTGTACTGTCTGGAGCATGGGATCCAGCCGGATGGACAGATGCCCAGTGACAAGACTCTGGGAGGAGGAGACGATTCCTTCAACACCTTCTTCAGCGAGACTGGGGCTGGCAAACACGTGCCCAGAGCAGTGTTTGTGGATCTGGAGCCCACTGTCATTGGTGTGTAGACAAAACAACCAAAAAATGAAACAATCAAAGGCTCTTATGAAAGACAAGGTTGAGACAACTTGAGACTGAAGTAAAACGCAGTTCAAAACACAAGCTTCAGTTATGGTTATTGAAGCTGTATTTGTAATTCCTGTATACTTCTATTAAACCATTGGAACAGCCATTTTAGCTCCAAAACCTGTATCTGACACCTCACAAGTTATACTTTTTTAATCAAATGGTTGCTCTTGAACTAATGCATAATTTTCTCTGCACAGACGAGGTGCGCACCGGCACATACAGGCAGCTGTTCCACCCAGAGCAGCTGATCACTGGAAAGGAGGATGCTGCCAACAACTACGCTCGCGGTCACTACACCATTGGCAAAGAGATCATCGACCTGGTGCTGGACAGGATCCGTAAACTGGTGAGAGGCGTGTGAAGGCTGAGTGTGTGTCACTGTGAGCTCCTCTTTTAAACATTGTGTGTCCACAGGCCGACCAGTGCACAGGGCTGCAGGGTTTCCTGGTGTTCCACAGCTTTGGAGGGGGCACCGGCTCCGGCTTCACCTCACTGCTCATGGAGCGTCTCTCCGTCGACTACGGCAAGAAGTCCAAGCTGGAATTCTCCATCTACCCCGCCCCACAGGTCTCCACTGCTGTGGTGGAGCCCTACAACTCCATCCTGACCACCCACACCACCCTGGAGCACTCCGACTGCGCCTTCATGGTGGACAACGAAGCCATCTACGACATCTGCCGCAGGAACCTGGACATCGAACGCCCCACCTACACCAACCTCAACAGGCTCATCAGCCAGATCGTGTCCTCCATCACAGCCTCTCTGCGCTTTGATGGAGCCCTCAATGTGGATCTGACAGAGTTCCAGACCAACTTGGTGCCCTACCCTCGTATCCACTTCCCTCTGGCCACCTACGCCCCAGTCATCTCCGCTGAGAAGGCCTACCATGAGCAGCTCTCTGTGGCCGAGATCACCAACGCCTGCTTCGAACCAGCCAATCAGATGGTGAAATGTGATCCTCGTCATGGTAAATACATGGCCTGCTGTCTCCTTTTCCGTGGAGATGTTGTGCCCAAAGATGTGAACGCCGCCATCGCCACCATCAAGACCAAGCGCACCATCCAGTTTGTGGACTGGTGTCCTACTGGGTTCAAGGTGGGCATCAACTACCAGCCGCCCACTGTGGTCCCTGGAGGAGACCTGGCCAAGGTGCAGAGGGCCGTGTGCATGCTGAGTAACACCACTGCTATCGCAGAGGCCTGGGCACGTCTTGACCACAAGTTTGACCTGATGTACGCCAAGAGGGCCTTTGTGCACTGGTATGTGGGAGAGGGCATGGAGGAGGGAGAGTTCTCTGAGGCCAGAGAGGACATGGCTGCTCTGGAGAAGGATTATGAAGAGGTGGGGGTCGACTCCATTGAGGGAGAAGGAGAGGAGGAGGGAGAGGAGTACTAAAGGGAAACATCTTCTCAAAGGCATTCCTGATGTTTAGGTCACATTTGGCTCCAAAATGAAATCTTAAATGTGTTTTTGGCCATTTTAAATAAACTTTCTGTGACAAATGACTCATGTTTGTGTCTTTTGCATTTAATTTTGTTGAAATTACATAAAACATTAAATCATAAGTTTACAATAATAATATCTAGGCTTATATATTCTGTCAGATGAAGAAGGTTAAAACGCCACCACCCAGAAGTGTAGGTCAATCACCTAATTTACAGATGCACAGATTTCCTCTGTATTTTGGATTAAATTTCGTATATTGACATAGGGAGTTCTGCTCAATGTTTTTTTTTTTTTACTTATAAGGCCTAGATATCACATGGATTCTGTTGCCATGGCTAATGCAGTAGCCATCTTGAGAGTGGAACAAGAAAATAATAAAAAAAAAAAATATATATATATATATATATATGTTTAAACACTTCAGTCAAGTAACTTTAAAATATATGTGTCACCTACGTGCGTTATCTCAATTTACACCATAAAATAAAGCATAAAACAAAAATATAATAATTTTAAGACCTGTTTATAGTAACAAGAGCTAACATGTCACCATTGTTCCCCCTAAACCTGACTATCTAGCACTAACCTTCCTGTAACTATCAACGTTTTGTTCAACTTTTGTTCACAAACTGCCACTTGACTGATGTCTAGCTCTTTCCCGGCTATTATCCCACCACACAAAGTCATAATTAGACAAACACAAAAAACACTTTCACTTTATTAATCAACCAGCAACACAAGATTTCCAAATGAGCATTTTCTTGCCTGATTTGAATATTCTAAGTACATACTCTTATGTTTAATGTAGAAAAGAATGTATAAAAGTACAAAAACATTGCAGATTACAAAACATGTCATCACAGTGTTTCTGGCAGCAGGGGGCGCTTGTCCACGCTGTATTTTTCATTTTCAGAAATTCTGAATGGGGTAGGACTGGACTGCCAGCAAGAGGACTTCACCACATGCCTGTTCAGAAAGAAAAGAGTGCCTGTTACACTTCTATGGGGATGAATTACTACTAAATTATAACAGATTTAAGTCAACATGTTACCTTTTATCATTCTGAAAATGTAAAATTTGCCGAAAACAATATATATTAAGGTACACTATGTAACTTTTTGCTTGGGGGTCCATCACCTGTTTATTTCTATGGCCATGTTATTCCTTTGCCTGGAATGTTCCACAGCATGATATTAAAGAGCTCTACTTTACACTTCTTAAATTACAGGTGGTTTCAAAACAGGCATTCTGACTGTGAGCGGGGTCGCCTCTCAGATCTGACCTGTAACTTGGTCTAGTTTGGTCTCCATGAAGAGAGAAATGTTTAATACCATACTGTGAAACATTCCAGACAAAGCAATAATATCTTCACGGAGAAAAGAATTTGACAGACCGTCCACCAGAAAAGTTCCACAATGCATCAGGTTTGTGAAGTTGTAGTGTATTGTTTTGTATATTGCTTATATATTTATTTTTTATTTAGTTCAAAGTTAACCAAATATGATTATATAGTCGTAGTGTTTTCAGTTGGCTTGGGTTCATGTGACATCAGATTATTTTTAAGAGTCTATAGTTTAACCTGAGCTGAAGACAGGTCAAATTTGATGTTGAACTATCAGATTGCAGACCTGGTTTGTGGTTGTGATGGAAGTGTATAATTTGATGTGATTTCTGTACAAGATCCAGACCAGGCATTAACATAGATGTTCTACAAACACAATGGTCTCCACCCTCCAGGAAGCCCTTTGTTTTACCTGTCTTCGTGTGTAAAAGATGATTAATTCAAGGCTGTGAAACAAAAGTCACTTTGCTTTGTAAAGTATGATACTTTGTAATTCTGGTATTTCTTCTGTACTTCATAACTTACTGGGCTTTCCAAATGGATTATTATTATTCACGAGATATACATCATTTTCTATAACAATGGTTAAAATCTCTGTAATTACTGGCACAAAGTTCACCGTCTTCTCTGAGTATAAATAAACAAAAGCGGAACTATTTTTTTCACAATCGCTTCAGACAGTGGGGCCATTATTCAACCCCAAAGACGTGATTGTTGTCAGTTGAAAGTACTTTAAGCCACAAGATTGATATGGCAAGTTTCTGCCAATCCCAAACAAATAATGTTAAGGTTCAACATTTGTGGATCATAAGTTTGGAGATTTCTTTTAAAATTCAGTGAATCTTTGATAGAGTTATACAGACCCCTCCCCTCCACCTGAAATTATGACATCTGTAATTCTAGAATGAGAATACAACCTATGTTTGTAATGTATGTAATGCATTATGCTTGAGCTGTTTCTTACTTCAGAGAAAGAGCCACCATCACTGCAACCAGAGACACTAAAAACGCTCCCAAGATCAGCACAAGGAGGACTGACCCAGGCAAATGAGAACCTGAAAGAAAAACATAACAACTTTAGGGAAGAGCCATATATTAGGTCCATTATTGGTACTGGTGATGTCAGAGGGGTTTCCTATATATACGTATCAGGTTTATATTGAAAATGTTTGGCACCAATTTTTAGTGCTGCACTGCCCCAGTCTATGTGTCCATGTGTCCTCAGTGCATCAGATTGATTTTTTTTAACAGAACAATGGAAACAGAAGAGATATTATACACATAAAATCTGGCTGTTGAAACAATCAAGTAACAGATCAATACATTTTGTCATTATTTATACAGAAAAGGACTGATATTATTTTAATTTTTGATTGGATTTTTATTGGAATTGCGTGCATTAGCGTGTGAGAGACTTGTTTATCTGCACAAAGTCAGCTCACCTCTTGTAGTTCCAACTAAACCAGTTCTTTTGGTCAGATTGTGTTCAAATAAAGCGCAGATTAAAGTCTAACAACAGCTGCACAGCAGTGCTTACATTAGCAACACACCCCCTGGAAATGTGGATGACATCAGCTGCAATGTATCAATAATGTTCCACTGTGTCTACGTTGCGTTAATACAATCACACCATCATGTGCTTGTCTCCATGGAGACAGATTCATTTAATGCCATACTGTGGGACATTCCATGCAAAGCAATAACATATCCAAGCAGGTAATGGACCCTCCACCAGAAAACTATAGTGCACCTTAAACATTCTGAACCAAATGTGATTTCGTATTAAAAGCAGTCTGATTCTGCGTTTTCTTACCCATGTGGATGTTGAACTTAGCAGAGGTTTGGACCAGGCTGACATCGTTGGCCATGGACACGTTGATGCAGTGAAGGCCAGAGGTGTTAAAGAAGTGTCTGAGCACTAGATGACACTGTTTGGACGGCTCCACCATGTTACACTCAGAGTGCAGAGGCCTGAAGCAGTCTGCATCCAAAATCACACTGCACACCTCCTTTGGGAAGCTTCATAAACACAATCAACAGTTACAATACAAATACTATCTGAGAGTCATATTTTAATGGGCAAAAAACAAGTCAGAAAAGAAAGATTTCATATGACAAAGATCACCCACATTGTCTTGGTGCAACATTGTGTAACTTTATATGGGAGGCACGTCTCACCTGCTTGATTCGGGATTGATTGAACATTCTCCGGGGAGACTGAACATTCTCCGGAGAGATAGATATGTTTTATGCTGTACTGTGGAAGATTACGGCCAAAGGAACAACATTTGCACGGAAAAAGCAGTCAGCTTTGTGGACAAACAAGCACGGTCACAGTAAGAACTATATACTTTTCAGTGCAATAAATCCATAATGAAAAATTTTTTAAAAATTACATGACTGAAACCATTACCCTCAAACTTCCATATGTGTCACAGCCATTGTTAAAGGTGCATGTAACTTTTCTTGTCTTGCGAAAATGCCTGGACTTTCCACAATATGATGTAAGCCTATCTATGTTTCATTTATTCAATTACATGTTTTTATTGCCGCAAAATTTGATGATGTCACCCTCTAGTGTCCAAGGAGATTGCAAAGTTTTGTAATTTTGTGACATTTCAGGCATGGAAAATATAAGTCTTCAGATCCTCCCCTTGAAATGAAATCATCCCCCTGAAATTTACTTAATGCTCCTAAATCTTACTTAATGCCCCCAATCATAATAGTTTAGATATACAGTAGTATCATTTTCACAATTTGACACTTCTTCCATTTTATTTGATTTTGAGTTGATTTTTACCTTCCCTGGCAGGTGACGGTGATGTCCAAAACGTTTTTGACCATTTCTGACGCCAGCAAAGAGTTCTCCATCTGCACGATCTCCACTTTGTCAATGCCCTCTGAATACACAAGCAAAGAGAGTTAATATTCTTTTCATATATTAAAGAAAAAAATAAAGAATGACCTTAAAGTGAGTATGACAGATTTCTCAAATTTTTACTTTGGTGGGATTATAAATATTGCAAATATAGTATAGAATAGTATAGTAGTATAGTATATTGAAAATTACAGGATGTAGAGAGTTCAAACATACTTAAGACACCACGCTAGGGAGAATTTTATCCAAAATTTCAGCACTTTTTTACATGAAAGAAACACATTTTTTCTGACACTTTTCTGAAACAAAGTAACGATGTTTTCTCATATTTGTATTTGTCAGTTAATAATATTAATAATAAGAAGAAGATAAGATAAGAATTTAAGTACATAAGTACATTAGAGGAGTTTTGCTTGGTAACAGTTTTGGAATTCCCTAGTTTGATGTCACGATTTCCAACCAGGAAATTATTTTTTTAAACTTAAAAAATGGCCAACTTGGGAAACCAAGTGTGAAGGTTTTTCCTGTGAAGATGCCATTTTTAGGACTTTTGACTACTTCAGTGAATCATATTTTTATTACTCTGAAAGCCATAAATAATTATAATAATACATCAGACTTTCATAGCGCTTTTTTGGCACTAGAACAAATTACAAGTCAGATTTGTAGAGAGGTGAGCTTGCTCACAGCAAGAATGCATGTGTTTAAAGGTATTTTTGCGCAATAAAAACACTACATAGATACAATGGAACATTCTAATAAAGTCTTCAAAGAGACATGAAAAGTTACACAGTGCACCTTTAATAAAACTATATGTTATTAAACCCCACAGACCAAAGACTTCGATGCCGGTACAGAAGGATCCATAGCGATAGATCACACAGTCGTCATTGGGAGGGTCATCTGTGAGTTTCTCTGTAGAGACAATAACAGCCGCTTTTCCAGTGAGCGTCAACCCTCCCTTTGCTCCTATAGAGACACACACAGTACATTGGAAGAGCCTAGGTTAGCCCTCCCTCTGATCCAATAGACATTAGACACAAACACAAGGCTATGTAATGGCAGCAGCTTTCAGAACTCAAATGATTTTTTTCCCATAGCCCTGAGGCAGAAAAAAAACAACTAACATCATTTACACTTGTGTCTGGCAGGCTTTGTATTGTTTAATTTGTTTAACTGTCACATTTTCCAGTCAAAAAAAAGTGAAAAAATATTAGCAGTAGCACTTGGAGCATTGCTGTAGCAGTCTGATTAATGTCATTTGTGTTCAAGCTCCAGTCACTTTGCAAAAGATCATATTCAAATATGATCTAGTACAATCTGATCTAGTACCAGTGCTCTCTTTGCTCCTACAGGCAGACACAGGGTTGTACTAGTGCACTGAATACAACAGGCAAAGCAGTATTCAAATGAGACCCACCACACAATACATCTACTCATACACATTGGTGGATGAAGTACTCAATTTTGTGCTGAAAAAAGTCTCAGTCATTTCAGTAGGTCTAAAACCACAAAGAAAATACTTTTTACTTTTTAGTGAAGATCTAAAATGTAGTGGAGTTGAAAGTACAGATACCTGGTGTAAATGTAAAAAGTATCCACTGTAAAATGTACTTACGTAAAGTACAGATACCTAAAAATTGTACCTAAGTATTGTACTTCTACTTTTGTACTTTGTTACATTCCACCTCTGCTCATACACTCATTGCATTTTAAAAGTCCACTATGTTGTTTTCATGCTTGTTTCCATTGAGATGTGACGGCTTTTTCTGAATTGTTGCACAGTACGGCATTACACTTATCTAACTCCATGGATTGGTGAAAAGCAGTAGATGCCATAAGACTAACTTACAGGTCAGATTTGTGAAGAAGCGAACCACACACATTAAGCATGCAGGTTTTTCCAAGATATTTTTTGAACAATAAGAACACATGTTTAATGATGTACTGTGGACCATTCCAGGCAAAGCAATAACATCCCCAGAGAGACAAACATACTGATGGCATCACAACATTCTATAGGCCAATCATATTTAAAAGAGATGAATGGCAGATAAAATTAATATTGTTCAAATACAGACTTGTGTTGTAATACAATGAGTTCTTTGGTCTAGTTGCTAATAGAAATGATCATGTTCTACATTTGTGAATTTACCTTTTGTATATTTAATGGCTAAATACAATGTTATAGCTCATTGTGTCTCAAAGCCAACTTTTATTAAAATCGTGAAATATAATAGAAACAACCTATTAAAATTCTAATAAATTCAGGTAAAGCCTACCCAATATTGTTAATATTTATTAGGCCTCCAAATTTGCATTAGCGTTAGCATTGAGACACAAACCTCTACTTTTCTAAAAGCTGAAATGTCCTCACCATTTGTGATTTTCAGATTCTAGAAACCACCAATGATGAACCCCCCCACCAGAAAAGTGGCACAGTTCATTACTAGCTGAAAACCCTGTCATTACTAGCTGTGTCTCCGTGCTCTTTTACCTGCAGTCCCATGAGCATTGTCCTCTTCGTTGGTAGTGTCCTGTGAGTTTGGTGGAGAGGAGGACTCATACTCAGAGCCGTCTTCCTCTGCATCAGATGGAGTAGAGTTTGGCTGAGAGGATTTGTCCACAGGCACTGCAGATATCACTACTGGAGCTTTCTCTACACAACACACAAGGTTCTACTGTTATTTGAGCTAATTACTTGCAAATCACAGTGATCAGCTTGAGCTTGGTGTTTGCCAATCATAGGTCTGTCACAATAATTACTATATCAATTTACCATTCAGTATATGAACGATGTCTATGGTCATGTCAATGAGAAGAAAGTTGCAGTTCTGGTACAGCTCAAGTTCATTCTAAAGCGATTCAGGAAAGCTTAATTTCTGTCCTGTGTATGGTACTATACTTGCTCCAATGAGAATCGAGTTTCGATTCTAGTTTTAGTATTGATTAGTGTCTTATTTTCAATACTTTTGACAACCTTAAATTGAAAATTATTATAGAAGTTTAATGTTTCTATTAAACAGGTTGCTAACAGTTTCTAGTTTGTTGTCCCAGTCTAACTTTACATAATTAAAATCTAGATTTTACAAATGCTTTTACCAGTGGGGGGGTTGGTGGGCGTGACGGCAGGCTCGCAGCTCTTATCCGGGATCACTGCCTGGATCACAACTTGAGGCTTAAATGAGCCTGAGTTTACATAAGTGTGAGTGACGGTTCGCTCTCTGGAGATCAGGGCCCCACTCTCGTCCCCAAAGTCCCAATTAAAGGTGATGTCGGCCGGGCTGAGGTATTCGCTGGGGTCATGGAGGGTTACAGTGAACGCAATTGCACGGTTCTGAACAAAGCGCAGATCTCCAGCCACAATGTCATTCACCTGGTCCAAGGAAACGGAGAATGGGATCTGATCTGAGGAGGAAAAGAGAGAAATATTATAAACAATATCAATGTGAAAGCAACAGAGTAGCGCTATTGCAATGTTTAAACGTTTAAATGTTTTAAACACCAAACTGACCGGTGATGGAAAACTGTGTGGAGGCGTATCCCAGAGGTATAAACTTCTGCCTGCCTCTGTAGTGGTAGATCACGATGTCCATGATGTAAGATCCAAGAGGAACGTCATCTGTGCCAATGGTGAGAGAGGAGCAGGGACCATCTGCCACCTGCCAATACTGACCTGAAAACAGGAATAGGGTTAGATCAGGACTAGAACAGGATTAGACCAGGGCTAAACTAGTACTGAACCAAGACTGAACCAGGACAGAACCGGGACTGAACAGAGACTGAGCAAGGACTAGACCAGGACTTGACCAGAATTAGACCATGACTAGACAGGGCTAAACCAGAACTAAAGTAGGACTAGACAAGGGCTGAAGCAGGACTAAACCAGACCTGAGTCAGAACTAGATCTAGACTAAACCAGAGCTGAGCCATATTTATACTTGGTCTAAACCAGGACTAAACCAGGACTGACTGAACCAGGACTCAACTAGGATTAGATTAGGACTAAAACAAGGAAGCAGAGGAGCAGGGGTGACCTGAGACCTGCAAAAACTGACATGAAAACAAGACCAAGGTCAGACTAGGACTGAACCAGGACTAAAACAGGATTATACCAGGACTGAACCAGAACTAGATCATGGCAGAACCAGGATTAGGCCAGAACTGAAACAGGACTTCGTGGCGGGCCTTAGACACATGAGGCTGATCTGAATATTTTCTTGTCTGGACAAAGTGACTCGAGTTAAATCTCCTGACTTTCATCCTTTTTGAACTGAGTCTGATTCTTCTTTGAACAGAGATTTTTCTGCAGCACAAATGAAGTGTCATAATCTGCTCATATGAACCGGCTCCAACGGAATCCACAGCTCATTTAACCACTAAATGACTATTACCACTGCTGTTGATACTGCTATTATTTAAACTAGTATCATTCTACAGCTGTTATGACTCGAGTACTATTAAAGGTGGGGAGAGTAGTCTAAAATTGTACTCAAGTAAGAGTAAAATTACTCAAGTGGAGTACAAAGTAGTGGTCAAGACATTACTCAAGTAAGAATAAAAAAGTATTTGGGAGTACAACTCAAGAAAGACCAATTGTAAGAATAACTGTTTGGGTGTAACATCAGATTTATAATTTTAAGTTAATGAAATTCAAAGAACAAAACATTAAATAATAAAACTATTACTCAAATGGGAGTATGCTGTTAAAACAGTACTCTGAAAAGTACAATTTCTTTAAAAAGTTACTCAAGTAAATGTAACTGAGTACTCCCCACCTCTGACTAAAGTCTGGTAAAGGTAAAGTTAAAGAGAAAAGACAGTCCGCATACCCCATGTTTTCCACACAAACACATATTGTGGTTTCTTGTCATCTTTTATTGGAGTTCCATCAGGAAAAACCAGCTCCTCGTCTGCACTCTCCAGAGGGTACATCGGCTCTGACGCGGCGTGATGGGTTCCTATTCCAAGAGAGAAAAATATGTTAATTAATGACAATCAGTCATGCTTTTATTCATTCAGTCACACAGACCCTGAGGGTGAGGCAGAAGAAGAGTGTTCCCAACGACACATAAACAGTGTGCATGGCAATGGAAATGCAACTGACTCAGCTGAGTGATGATTTTTTATCTGTACTATTCCCAAAGGGGACATTTGTATTGGACAAAGCCACAGATGAATCAGAAAAGGCATAATTGTTGCTCCATTTACCATTATGTTCTCCGTCTTCTGCCCACACCACGTCTCCTCCAGGGGACAGCACTCTCTGGCCGTGGGGAAACTGCAGTTCGATAGTGAAGGTCACTTTAGCTGCGGTCAGAGTCGGGGAGTCGTTTGCCACATTGAATCACTTTTCCCCCTGTGTCAAACCACAAAAGAGTTTAAAAAGTCACATGGAAAACAGTGAGAGATACAGGACTACACTCATACCATACTCTCTACAACTGTACAACAACTCACCCTTTTGTAACAGATAATATTCCCAACAACTGTACAACAACTCACCCTTATGTAACAGATAACCTTAAGTCCTCTCAATAATCATATCATTGTTGCACTGTCTTCCTATGACCTCTTGTATAAAGCTGTGTTTTTATATTTTACTTATCTTTCTATTTTATTTTGACTTTTACATATACATTTTTATAATTATGTCTTATTTGACACCTGTCCCTTGCTATATTTTTTGCTATTTATTTAGAATTTATTATTACCATTTATACTTTTTCTCTACTATATTATATTGTGATGTGTGAGCTACTGTGTCCAAATAATTTCCCCTGTGCATCAATAAAGTTTGTCTAAATCTAAGTTTAAGGATAATGTGATGTCATGTATGAATGTAACATACATATTTATGTTTACACATCGTTTTATTTTGTACCTTTCCAGGAGTCGTGAAGGCGTGGGTCTCCTTCTTTCCAGACTGGATACATCTTTGTATTCCATGAAGGAAACCGAGTGAAACGTTTTTTGGGCTCTGCAAAGAAAAGGCATTTAAACACTAAAATTTAAGCTATTTTAGAAACTATAGCTCAAAGACAAAATATGAGTATGCAACGATTACTAGCACAGAATGGAGCTGGAAACATTGTAGTCAGTGGGCAAACGACTCTCGTCTGTGCGACTGGTCCAGAAGGTAAATGTGAGTCTGCTTTTAACTCATTTGTGCTGTCTCCAATCCCTCTCATGTGACACAGTGTTCAGTGTTCATGAAGTCAACTAAAAATTGGTTTCTCCAAAAATAGTGGTTTCCATTTTTTTACAGTCTGATGAATGAATATACATACTGTACATATTTTTAACATAATCAGATACGATAAAACAGATTTAAAAAAGAATAAAAATTAATCCACATGTCTATATCCTCTGCGGCTGTGGTATTCAAGTTCAGTTTGCGCATTACTGAACCAGGTCATGAGAAAGACCTACATCCAGATAAGAAAAAGAAATGAAGCAAAAATATCTTCCACACCAAAACTACTACTACTACTTTTCATACTGCTACCCACAGTGAATACGATATAACAATATTGTCAATTTTGTTAAAATATGAAACAACATAATTTTCCAATAAGCTATAGTAAACACAGCTGTACAAAGCAGAGGGCACTACATAGACCAGGATCCTTTTCTCCATATCAGTGTAGTCATTAGCCAACATAGAGTCTTAGTGAGTCTTTTGAAATGATGATCTCACTACAGGAAAGGAAATGCTTATACACTACAGTACCACACAGGTTTAATATTTGTTGTATCAAGATTTAGATTTTGTTCACCCCTACTTAAATTTCACTTTGAATTGCAATCAGCTAATTTTAAAATTTCACTTAGAAGCTACAGAACAAAGGAGTAGCAGGTTGACATAAGGCTGCAACTTAAGATCACAGTCAAATCAAAATAAAAAACTAAAGTGCAATGTGTAACTTTTCCGATGAGCCCTTCACCTGCTTGTCTCCATGGTGATGTCCTGGTATGTTGCACAGTTATAAACTTAACTGTCTAGTATGAGTTTAAATCATAGACTGTATGAATAGACAAAGCTAACCAAGTCCTTGTAGGAAGCGTACGTGGGAGCGCTTTCGGCTCCTTCTGACTCTGGACCCTGGAAAAATGGTCATCCCTCTCTCTGTAACTGCTGTAGTGAGCCTTGTCATGTTGGTCTTAAAATGTTTGTATTAACCCACTCTTCATGATCGTGGTGTTTTTATTTAGTTATTTTATACATTATTAAATTCCTATTTTTAATGTGGAGCGGCTCCAAATTCGCCCATGTAACTGCTATGTTTAACCTCACACTCCCTTAGTTCACTTCTTTATACAGTCTATGTTTTAAATACAGGTGTTGAAATGGCTACAAAATAAATTAGAAACATGCATTCTTTTGAGTGTGCTCGCCTCTCCAGAACTGTTATTGGCCCATTTCCAGCCTGAGTCTACTTACTTGCCAGACTGGTCCCAGCGAGCAGCAGTAGAGCCAAGAGCCCAATGGTCGCCTGCATTTTCACAGCACCACAGAGTCAATGAAAAATCCCTTTTGTGAACATGGGGCAGGGGTGAGGGCCTTATAAGCTTTCCGAAGTCTGACCTATTAACCCACCACGCCCCCATCCTCTGAAATCCTCCAGGCCAGCTCCAACTCGAGTCACATTCTAGGGCACAAAAAGAGTTATGAGTATTATTTTACAGTGTTACAGTGTGTACAGTGTTTCAGGATTAGGGTTGTACACATAAGAAAATAATCCAGAACAAATGCCAGTTTGTCATTTGGCAACAAGAAAGTCACGAGACATTTTTGGTTTACTATAATGTGGATTTGACCTGAGTAATGTATGCAGAGAAGAGGGTCAGAGGAGCAGAGGATGCAGATAAGAGGGTGAGATGGAGCAGAGGACGCAAGTGGAGTAGAGGATGCAGAGGAGAGGGTCAGATGGAGCAGAGGATGCAGATGAGAGGGTCAGACGGAGAAGAGGATGCAGGTGGAGCAGAGGATGCAGAGGAGAGGGTCAGATGGAGCAGAGGACGCAAGTGGAGTAGAGGATGCAGAGAAGAGGGTCAGATGGAGCAGAGGATGCAGGTGGAGTAGAAGATGCAGTGGAGGCAGAGGAGAGGGTCAGAGAAGCAGAGGAGTGATTTGCTGGTTATACAAGCTTTTACCTAAATCTCCTTGTCACCTGACTTAATTTTGGCGGCCTCTTTAAGTGCTCCCAATTCTAAACGGATTTACACTAACGGTCAAGGAGCCACGTGAAACTCAACAGATTTTAAATTCTGTGTTACCAGATATTATCATTTCGGGCAAATAACAAAACATGTATGTTTTTGATCATTCTTCTTGATTTGGTGACCATAGTAAGCAGTTGTCTTCCGAACAGATGGTCAAAAGAATCACACCTTACATACACCTATATTTGGTACATACTGCCATTGGGTCCTTAAGCAAAACACTTCACCCATAAACTGCACTATAGGCATACACTAAGTATAAACACTGACATCATGGTTATCTACATAATGTAAAACTAAGGCTGGCTTGCTGGATCAACTCTTATCCGAACACATACTGTCATTGTGTCTTTGGGCAAGACACTTCACCCACTCTAGTCAATGTAGTGTTGCTACTTTGGACAAGGACGGCATCTGGTATAAAAAAATAAATAAAAATCTAACAAAAAATAAAATAGTATATCTTAAATATAGAAATATCATGAAAAAATTGCAGATGTAATAACCAAATACACACCATCACCATAGGGTTGTCAAAAGTATAGAAAACGAGATAAGTAAAACTAGTATCAAAACGAGATACTCATTTGAGAAAGTATCAACACTAAAAAAGACACATTCACAGGACAGAAATGAACCTTTCCTGAGTAACTTTAGAATGATCTTTAGTTGTATTAGGACAAGTATACGAATGTAAGACTAGTATGTGCCCACGGACCACAGGTACCTACCTAGACCACTGAGGGATTACACAGATAATGTCTGAAATTGAGTTTGTAATTTTAGTATCGTGACAACACTAATCTGTAGTACTTTGTAATGTCGCAAAAATACATATAGTAATTGCTTTATAGCGTGGAGAGTTGCTCATTCTTTCACTTCCGTTCCATTTAAACAACACAACACATCACAACACAGAGAGGTCAGAGCGGTGGATCAAAATGGAGGAATGTAAAAGTTAATGTGGATTATGGAGAGACGTGTGACTCCTAAACTCCTCCGGCTCGGTGCAAGTTTGGAGTGTGCGCCCAAATCGTGACACTGTTAAACAATGTCCACATTCACTGCAAAATCCTATTTCATTTGACCTCAATCATCTGGAGTTTTGGGAGGGTTTGGAATAATTAAGCAAAGACAAATCATAATTGTAAATTGAATGGTTATGATTAGCAAAATACAGTGTTTAGTAGGCAGAAGTGGGTAGTGAGCAGTTTTCAAACACCTATTGATACTTTCAATAGCATGCTGAGGGTGTTCTACATTTATGTCTATATACTGAAATGTTCAGCAGTTACCATGCTGACACAATGCACACATTAGCAAACACTGTCAAAATTTTTAAGTCTGAAAACTCGAGAATACATACAAAATGGATTTAAGCAGTACATTTTCAGGATCCTGTGATCAATATGAGTGTTTGTGATCCTGTTTAGATGTTTTTTCAACAAAAAGGTGAGAGTGATTGAAACAGCACAAATCAGCTCTCCTGTTGTAATTCCAGCTAAATCAGCTCTTCCTGTTCAAATTGTGTTAAAATAAAGATCAGATTAAAGTCTAACTTGATAAACAGAGCTTCAGACAGAGCAGTATATACAGTTAGCTTCACACCACCAGGCAACGGTGATGACATCTGCTTTAAAGTATCAATAGGCCTACTTCTAGTAGATTAATATAGCATACAATGTTACAGTACATCTACTTTTACCTGAGTAAACATTCTGGTTACTCTTTTGCCCAAGATCCAGAATCCACACATCTTCAGTACTTAACAAAAATGTGAATCTGGTCACATATGAATGTCTCTAAATTCAGATGGGCATGATTGACAAGTGGATTAGCCAATCAGGGACAAGCATTATCAGGCAAGTTCTCTTCCCACTGTGAGTAAGCCTTAAGCCCAATTTCTGGTCGTGCATTAAATCATCTGTGTCACCTTGAACCCCCTTCGCAGAGCGTCTGCATCCACCGTCGTGCACCTCAGAAATTTTGTAACTACGCGTCAAACCGATGCAACCGATGGCAAGGGAAAGCAACACAAACAGCAAGGGAAGGCAATGCAGATACTAAGGGCTGTGATTGGTCCTCTCTATCACCACTCTACACACATTTCCGGTACTCCACTTTCCCGCTTAATTTTGTATACAAACTTACTTTGCGCCACATAGACCTCAACGCAGATCCATAAATCAAAAACGAGGGCTACAAAGTGACGTCGGTAGTGTGCGTTGAGTCGACACAGAAATATAAAACAACCTAAAGTGACAAACGCTTTTGCTGACAATATCAAATTATTTAGTTTCTTGCAGCACTCCTTCAGGGATGATTTAGTTTGTCTCATTTTTGTGCCTGTTCTTTGAAAACACTAGATTTTAAGCATTAATGTTTTGTCCTTTAAATTACATTAACTTCAAATTGTAAATCAGTTGTTACTTTTTTGGAATTTTTGAAACTTACTTCTAATAATATTATCTTGAAGTAGCAGAAGATAGCATTACTAGAGCACAATTTCTCTTTCAGGTCTTATTCTATGTAAAAACTGCTAACCCTGTAGTTTAGACCTCTACAAACACGATTTCAGTCTTAATGTTAATGCTCCTGGACCAGTTTACAAATACAATATGCAGAAAATTTTGATGTAGAATTTTGTTATATTTAATCATGAAACCACTGAACTCTTTGCTTTAAACTCACTTAAACCGTGACACCTTTTAAACCTCTTTTGTTTTGAATAATCTCCACATCCACAACAAAACCCTATTGTGTTAAACATGAACTCTGTAAGTTCAAGTGCATCACTAAAAGCCCATAAGCAGAAGAATTTACACTGAAAAAAGATGGCTTAACCTATATCCTGGCAGGTCAGTGGGTTGTCAAAAGTATCGAAACTCAGATAATTGATAGTAAAACCTATGTGTTAAACTGATCTTAAGCTCTATTAGAACAAGTATAAGAGTACATAGACTAGTAGACATAGACTGAGGGATTACACAGATATAAGATCACATGGTCATATAAAAGAAAGTACTATGATTTAACTGTGAAAATTACATTCTATTGTCTAATTAAGTGTTTTTAATTCACTTATTTAGTGTGGTATCGGAATTGGTACTGAGTATCGAGTCTGAAATTTTACTATCATGACAACGCTAGTATTAATCTACTCTTTATATACTGAGGCTGGTCATATATTGTTTTCTGTAGAATTTGTGGTGTGGTTTGGTTGAAAATTATGAAAATACCATAGAGATATAGAACAATATATTACTTTTATGATTTCACACAAACTAGCCCTGAAACTAGCTTACTCAAATCAGATGTCTGAATTTAACAAACATAATTACAAATGTGGCAATATATGATGAGATCAAGGCAGCTGCAGTTGCTTTCTTTTACCTTCACCTGCCATCATGGACTAAAAAGCCTAAAAGTATGACGGGGAATGGAATTCCATATGTTTTGTTAAAGCTTGCCGCTCTGCCACTCAGGAGCACCCCTCCCTCCTCTTTCTTCATCTTATCTCTTGACTTTTATATTAGCACAGATGCTTCAAATCAAACAGAATAGGGCCAGGGTGATTTAAAACATGGACGCATGATCGATTTATGATCTGGATGATTTATGATCTGGATCTGAGGCCAAACGCACCTTATGAAACAAAAGTGAAGCTTTTCCTTGTGATTTTGTAAAGTGGACTAAGCCTTAAAGGAGTGTGAGGCTACCAGTTATAGAAGCAAATAGGAATAAGAATTGATTTAAAAAAAAGAAAAAGAAAAGAAACACCAGGATCACATAGAACAGGTTACAAACCCAAACCTTGCAGCATAGGGGAGTAGATGACTTCAGTATATAACAGACACATAATGTTGTTTAAAGCACTTAACTGTGCAATGTAGACCGCAAATATTTCATTCACCTATATGAAATACAAAAAATAAATAAATAAATACTAGAGTCACTAATGTTAACTACTCAAAAATAACACATTCCAAACTGAATGTAGAAATGTAGATATAGGCTGCCTGTTTATTCTATGAGAAATACCAATAACAAGTAGTTATTTATATTTGGCTGAAGATAACACTGTTTAAAAGTGGGTTGCCAGACTCTATAAAGACCTAAGACTTACAGAGTTCTGCTCCAAACAAATGAAGCTCACAAGTCTAGCAGTTATAGGAGCCATTTGGAGCCAATGAGTTCCACATTAGGAATATGAATTCATTAAAGTACAAAATAGCTGAATAAAACCACCAGGATCATGTAGAGCGGGTTAACATGAACATTTTAAGACCAACATGACGAGTCTCACAGTCCCAGTTACAGAGAGAGGGGTGACAATTATTCAATGTAAAATCAACTGGAAACAGAGTCAATGGAGCCAGAAGCACCTGCATGCCCATTTCCTATATAGACCGAAGCAGCTAGTAGGGTAACTGTTTCCTTTCATATATAATCTATAATTCACCTTCTTTGTTTTTATGCTTCCACTTGAGATGGGCCATATTGATAAAGAGTAATAACTTGGTATTTTATTATTTTATTATGGCAGTCAATCCAACAGAACTGTGCTAAAACATGTCAAGTTCAGAATCAGGTAAATGTGGAATGACTTTATAATATTATTTAGGTTACACAAATTTATTTCCATTTTATATTTATATACTTTTGCAGCATTTCTTTAACTAGAAACCATTTTATCAATATCCAAATTTTGCTTTTTTTCGAAACAACATTCACAGCATCTAGTTTTTGATAACATGCTCACCTTTGTATTTCCACTCCTCCAGTGTCTCGGTGCATCCACACGGCGGCTCTGTGCTCTCCTGCCCGCCTTTGAGCGCTCCTGTCCCGGCCGCGGAGGAGCAGAAGTAGCCGCTCCTGTTCCGTGATTGGAGGAAGACACGCATCAACAAAGCAACATGGCTGAAGTCATAGAACTGCAAAAGCTCAAGGTTTGGACGTTTATTTGCACTTTTAACGTAATAAACCGACGCTATGTGAACTGTGAACATGTCCTGTAAATTCTTAGATCTACTTTTGTATTTTTTATGATAGAAAATATAATATATTTTTCGGTATTTTTGCATACTACGTCCATTCACCGGCGTGTTCACGTTGTCCATTGAGTTAGCTCGCTGCTAGCTGTTGCTGCTACTATTACAGACGATTCACTTTTTAAGCAACTCGTGTTTGAATAAAAGTTTAATATAGGACTTACATACTTTTAAATTCACTTACCTAAAAAGTGGAACATTTTGCTTAACTATACTAAGATGTATTTGAATCGCTAATATATCTAAATCATCTTCGGGGAAATCAACCAAATTTCAGTCATGCGATGTAAATAACGCGAGAATAGATCGTTCATTTGGGATTTTAACATTTGTGCCTTTTATTGTTTAAAATATTGTATGAAGTAATGAACACATTAAGAAAACGTGATCATAATTTAGTTTTGTAAATTCTATCCTAACGTAATTTAGTTTGCAAAATGTAAAAAGTGGGACATAAATACAAGGCCTGTCTGTGTTATTATGAAACCAGCCATATAATCTCTTAATCCATGAGCTTCAATATGGCATACTCCCTTCATCTCGACATTTTATATGATAAATATGGGCTACTATTTCATTACTACTTTCATGTCAAAAACATTTCTTCCTTCCATTCCTTCAATTCATGATTGTACGGACGTTGCAATGGCAAATGTGTTGCAGTAATTGTGAAAAAAAATAAAAAGTAGTAATAGTTTACTAGTCAGCTATTTTATTTATTTATTTTTGTCAGTTAGTCAAATTGTAATTTTTATCGTACATTAACCAGGTAAAGGTTGAAATATGTGGTGAAAGAATTGTTTTGTTTTGTTTTTTTTAATTAATAATGTCTTTGTTATAATAGTTTTTCTGGTTTTAGAGTCTGCTTTGTTCAAATAACAATTAAGATTATTTTAATGGTCAAGTAGTCCCAGTCATTCTGTTGTTTTGCTATGTGTTGTAGCTTGCGGAGCTGAGGCAAGAGTGTGAAGCTCGAGGCCTGGAGACAAAGGGAAACAAAGGAGAACTCATCGCCCGACTACAGGCCTATCTGGACGAGCACGGTCTGACGCTATATTAATTTATATTAATTATTAATCATTTCAAAAACCATAAAATTTTTTGTAAAGGTCTAAACTACAGGGTTGGCAGCTTTTGTACCTTTTAAAATTTAGATTTTTAAATTCTGTTGCAATTAGCCATGCACACTTATTAACTGTGATGTTCTTCTTTGGGTCCACAGATGAAGATGTGGATGTGGATGATGTCCTGGCAGAAGATGCAGAGGTAAATGCCCACTGCTCTGTACTTCATATTCGTAGACTTCAGCAGCGTTGCAATGTTTCCCATAGATTTATACAGGGAGTGCAATGGCACAAGTGATCCATGTTTGAATATGTTTTTGGATTATGCCTTTACTGATCAAAAGAGGCACATGATTAAATACAGTTACTTCAGTGTTTATAACCGGGTTAAGGAGAGTCCCTGCCTTAAGTGGAGGAGTTCAAGCATCTCGGGGTCTTGACTCTTGTTCATGAGTGAGGGGAAGATGGAGCGTGAGATTGACAGAAGGATTGGTGCAGCATCTGCAGTGATGCGGTCGCTGTATTGGACCGTTGTGGTGAAGAGGGAACTGAGCCGAAAGGCAAAGCTCTCGGTTTACCGGTCAGTCTATGTTCCTACCCTCACCTATGGTCATGAACTGTGGGTAATGACCAAAAGGACAAGATTGTGGATACAAGCGGCTGAAATGAGTTTCTTCCACAGAGTGGTTGAGTGCTTCCTTAGAGATGGGGTGAGAAGCTCAGTAGAGTAGATTTCGGAGTAGAGCCGCTGCTCCTCCATGTCGAGAGGAGCCAGTTGAGGTGGCTTGGGCATTTGTTCCGGATGCCCCCTGGGCACGTCCCACTGGAAGGAGGTCCCGGGGAAGACCCAGGACACGCTGGTGGGACTATGTCTCTTACTGGCTTGGAACGCCTTGGGGTCTCCCTGGAAGAGCTCGAGGAAGTGTCCAGGGTGAAGGAAGTCTGGAATCCCTGCTTAGACTGCTGCCCCCACGACCCTGCCCCGGATGAGTGGAAGAAAATCGATGGATGTTTATGACATTACATCAAAAATAAATTAATTATTATAAATTATTATTTTAGAATTTTAGAGTTTGCTTTTAGACTATGGGGGCAAATAAATACCCTATTGGGGGCACCATAGTCCTCCCTATTAAAGGGGGGGAAAAATCACACAATCCAACCACGTTACATGCTTTGCTCATTCTGGTTGAAATTATTATTTTCCTAATTTAAACAATATTAAAATAAAGTGTGTGTTACGTTTTTCAGGACTTCAGTAAAGCAGACAGTGCCAGTCCTGTGAAGATCTCTAAACCTCCAGAGACAACTAATACAACGAGCACAGAGGAGTGAGTTAAATGTCATTATTCTCCTCCTTTGGTTATTGTTTCTATTATAAAAAGGGATTTACCTACATTACGATGGCTTTTTTAATCCCTTAGAATTAGGGGTTACTATTGTGATTAAACGTTTTCTAACTTATTTATTTTTCTTCTCAGAGTTGCCAAAAAAGTGGTAAAAATTGAGCCGCCTTCATCAGCAGCTGAAGTACGTATTAGTCTTTTTTAATCTAAGCTTGTCTGTCAGTCTGTGCACATGTTGTTAACCCTATTTAAATGTATTGAACTGCACATTTGAACTGTGATGTAGCCACTGTCATATTTATAAGTTGTTGTTGTTGCAGAGACTCCAGAAAAGAGCCGAGCGTTTTAATATGCCAGCGACTGCAGAGAGCAAGAGGGCCCAGCGAGCAGCTAGGTCAGTATTTACTAATAAGTATTTATTTTACATTATTATACTGGATATTACATCTAAATGACTTGCTTTTCATGTAGGTTTGGCCTCCCAGCAGATGCAAAGAGTCCATCACTAGGTACTGTACTGTAAATAACCATTGTAGCATTAATTCTTACTGTCAGTTAGATTACTGTGAGTAGAAATCTCAACATTTAAATTTAAGATAAAAACATTTTACATTTGGCTTGCTGGTTTGGAGTACAAATGGAACTGAAGTTATTTCTTTTTGCCTCTAAAGTTCTCACAATTAGTTCTATGATTTATATTGGAACTTGTGTATCAAATTATCAATTAGGAATGTCAAATATATTACCTTATCATTAATGGTTACCATGATAATACTGTGAAGTAGATGTGAATAATGTTACAGTGTAAACTGATAAACTAAAACCTTATTGTTTACCACAGGTTCTGTTGCCACCGGAAAAACTGCAGTAGGTTTTTCACGTTTTTCTGTTGGCTAAATTTCAAACTTGCATTGTGTTGAATTCATTTTTTTTTTTATCACTGAATTCTCTCAAGGTTAATGTGGATCAGCTGAAGAAGAGGGCAGAACGATTTGGTGTGAATGTGTCTTCCATTTCACAAAAGGTAATGATACTTTTTTCTCTAGAGGGGGGCTAAAAAAGTCTGTGGTTGATTTACTACTTACGATTAATGTTATGGTTAATATGTGCCCTCTCTGTTAGCATATATGAACTAAATTGAAATGATATTGTCACTATAACATCAAAAAGCGGTCACCAGAGCCTTTATTGTAAGACAGTAGAAAGATCATTAAGACACAAGAATAACATAGTGATTTGCAGAGATCCCTAAACAAAAACATTTCAGATTTAACACAATTTTTTTTGACAAACCAGTAATGTCTATTTAATAATTACTCACTGATTTTTATTAATTTAAATGACATTTTTGTGTAATTTGTTCACAGATTGAAGAAGATGAGAAGCTAAAGAAGAGAAAAGAGCGGTTTGGCATTATGACTGGAGCCACTGGAGCATCGCCTGATGTCGAGGTATGAGTCTTTGTGTAACATGACAGTTTGTATGCTCAGAATACTTACTACTGGATACTTCATCCATGTGTTATTTAGAGCAGTGCTGAATAACAGCTTCTCAAGAAATGTAACTCACCACCAAATAACTTTTTTTTTCTTTTTTTTTTCTTTTTTGGCCAATTCAAGTATAAACACAAAAAGTCTCATGAGATCATATTTCTCATGTGTGCACAAAGATTTTGTCCCATGCCCCACAACTAGGGCTGTAGGCCTTCAGTCATTTAATCAGTTAATCAGTTTATGGAGTCCTCTGGACCAGACTCTGAATTAGTGAGTAATCATTATCTTAAATGGTTGTTTTTGCTTGAGCTTCCCCCTTAAATGCAGTCTTGTGAGTGCAGTGTGGGTCAGATACATACATACTTTTGCCACACCCCTTTTTAGTTGACTAATTGATCAGCAGCCCGTCTTTATTCAACCAAGAATTTCTTTAGTCAACTACAGCCCCACATACAACCCTTAACCTACAATAATTAGTATTCAAATATTCAGTACAGTATTCTGTATATTTTTCTCATCTTGTATACCTCTTTTTATAATTTCATCATAAATATATATATATTTTATTTTTTATTTTTTTTACAGGCCAAGAAATTGAAGCGTGCAGAGCGATTTGGAATGGCATAATGTTTTCAAGCTTTTGTAAAATGTTTCATATCAGTTTAACAAAACCTCACAAAACTAAATTACAATATTCAGTTTCTAATAAAGCATCACCCAGTGTAAATAGGTGAGTTATTTAGGTCATTGCTTTTTATTTGTGTTTTAATCAAAAGATAATCCCTTTTTGTTTTCATTTTATTATAAAAAAAAAAGATATCTTTCATAGATTATGTCAAATGAACCCCGTCTCTGGTTAGAAAAATCTGTTGTTGCAAAAAATATATAGGCACCTGCTGTAAACATAGTAGTCAAAGTGTTGTTTTTTGTGCTTTTTATAAGATATTTTAAATTCTGTGGACTCTAGGCTGAATAAACCAGGACATAACTCCCTGATAGATAAATTCACCTATTTACAGTGTTCTTTGATTTTATAGTTTATGTTGAAGGTTGTCCATTAAAATGCCTTTGTTCTATGTCATTTTATATAACTTTGTGATTAATAAACTGTTTAAAAAAAATATTGGCTACTTATTCTGTTTTATTGTAAGTGCCAATATTATGCTACATTATATTATAATGTTGTTTCCTCATCAAAAACATACCTGGAGTTCTGTTTTGTTTCATTCACATGTTTAACACACAATCCCTGCATATTTAGGCCGAGTTCTTCTTTCAAACAGAAAACACTGTTCCACCTTGTAATTTCATGTGGTAATAAAGGAGGCGCTCAACTGTGTTTTTAAACCTCATGCACCTTCACTAGAATCATTTAGATCATTTCAGCCCTAGAATTGCCACTCTCCTAAACAAAAGTCAAAAGGTTGCTGTTGAAAACTATCTCCACAAGATGTCACAAGGTGGAACAGAGCATTGTGAGCTTAAGGGATGTAGCCAGACTAATAATAAAAAAATATATGTTAATGACACAAAACACAACTACAGGTGTGTTTATGAATAGGTAACAGCATTCTAGCATGGCTTAAAGTTTACAAGAGTCAATTCTGTGTAATATAAGATCTTTAAAGTAGGATTAGGCTCAGAAGGGTTAGAGGCAAATTCCTGTTACTGTTCCTTCATCAAAACAAACCTGGAGTTGCGTTTCACATTTTAGTATTTTAGATTGCACTGTGTCACCAGCTTCTCTGACCGACAGTCACTAGCACACACAACACCACCCACTTTGCCTTTGTATGAGGGGGAAGTGCCTTGCAGAAGGGTATAACAATATGCACTAGTCAGAGCTGTAATTGAACGACACACCTTCTGGTAAATATAGGATAGGATGTTTTTCTTTTTTTGTTTGTTAGTTTTATAAATCAGCAGTAATACAATAGCCTCGCTATAAAAGCCTGAGCCAACACTACAACAAATTTACCACAAATAAAAATAAAAAATATTGAGTGAGTTTTTCCTTTGACTTTTGACTATTTTTGTGTTTTCTATTAAACTTGTTAATCTCCATGGAGACAAGCGACGGAGATACAGGTCAGATCTGTGGCAAGACCACCCCACTCACAGTAAAGATAAAATAAAATGTTCTCTATAACTGAATAAATGTAGGATAAATAAGTAAAATTCTATTTGTGGATATTGCCACAGCAACATCTACACAGGTACGCAGATGATGTGATGCCAGAAAAGTGAAATAGGGCACCTTAAACTTTCCTATACATAAATCACATTTGAAACCAGGACATATGATTTTTCTAGGATTTATCTTCAGGACAGGTTCAAACCTGTCATTTACTTTGTTTCTGTTCTTTTGACGCCCTCTGGCGGTCAGCTCATGCACTGCGGTGTTTATATTGCTCCTGTGTGTGACGCGACTTCCGGTGACGCGAGGAAATTTTAAACTCTCGTCCTTCTTAGTGATGGCGGCTGCGCTCCGATCTCTCCCGACAAACAGCCACAACAAATGGTACTTTACCCGGCAGCAGATCGACAACAACCCGTCCCGGAGAGCTGGACTGGACCCCGATAAGGAGCTCTCGTACCGGCAACAAGCGGCGAACCTGCTGCAGGACATGGGACAGCGCCTCAATGTGTATCTTTTTTGTTTAGCGGTGCTAGCTTTACCCTGTTAGCATGTGGCTAGCAGAAGTGTGTGGCCTTTACCGAGCCGGCTTCTTAGAGAACCGGCTAGACTTTACCTCAGATTGCATTATTTGCTGCCTTTTGACCTTATTTTATCGATTTAATACGATAATGTTGTGATTTGTGGCATATTTAAGTGCGATCGGCGTGTTGTCAGAGCATTCCCGAGCTAACGCGATGCTTCTAGGCCGCTGCGCTCAGCGGGCCCCGAGGGCATTAGCATTAGCATGTGTTTCACTATCAAATATGAGTAAATTACGAGTACGAGGTTAGCTTTAAATGTTTACTAATCCTAAATTATGTAAACGTGTGTGGTTTGATAGGTAGTTAGTTTATAATTCATTGCATAGCTACTTGCTTAATGCTGCGTTAGCTCTTGGCTCGTGCTGGTCGGGGGTTTTACATAAATAGCTCGAGATGGGACAGCTGTTTTTAGCGTGTTTGTAGCGTGTCTGGCGCGTTGTTGATGCGTGTTTGGAGCGTGTTTGCGGCTCCTGTGTTTTCCTTAACCGTTTATTCAGCTCACAGCTCACGATCAACACCGCCATCGTGTACATGCACCGCTTCTACATGGTCCAGTCCTTCACCAGGTTCCACAGAAACGTAAGTGGCCTTATGAAAGCATTTGGTCTGGGGCAGAGAACCTCAAACTTGTCTCGTACTACTTTTTACAACGTCCTATAAAGACTTAACGAAGAAGGGTTAAATCTGTACTTGTTCTTATGTATGTGACTATAACTTGACTAAACCCTGGTCAAATCACCACTAAACTAGAAATATTTTGGTATACAGGAAACAACTATTCTATGTGCTATTCCCAAACTATTCACACAAAGTATCACCTTTTAAATATACTAGCAGAACTAAATAAGACTTTCGACTTAGCTAACCCATAATTGAGACTAAAATGTGAAAAAAAACTGGACTAAATTACTAAACATGTTGTGATATCCCTATATTCAATTGCAAAGTTTTCATGGGCATTGTATTTAAATTTACAATTAGGTTTCTTAAGTGCACATTTTAAAGACATCAAGGGGCAATCAAATCTGAGAGAATAAATAGGAACTGATAAACTAAAATACATCATAATTTCAGAGCATGTTTCAAAAAGTCAGCAGGGTGTTTCTACACAAAAGACAGGATATATAGATGCATTATACTATGCAGCCTTGTTCTAATATTACAGGATTCTTGTGTTTTAAGGGTAATAAAATAGAAGATATTGTCACATAACCTTTGTGATTTCCTAATTTTGACCATTCCCAAAGTCCTTTTCTGTTCGAGCCAACTTCTACTAGTACACATGGGTCCTCTGGGAAAAAAAAACTTTGGATTTGAAGCATGAGCCCCTCATTACCACCAGAAAGCCCCTCTACAACTTGACACCCCACAAGTCCTAGATGCACCCACTGGACTAAATATTATCCCCTCTCTCTGTCAGGTTGTGTCTCCGGCAGCCCTATTTCTTGCGGCTAAAGTTGAAGAGCAGCCACGTAAACTGGAGCATGTTATCAAAGTGGCACATGCATGTTTGAATCCACAGGACCCCTCTCCAGATGTGCGCAGCGACGTAAGTGTTTCAAACTCCCCCGTTCTTACATTCACAATCTGTGCAACCCAGTGCTCCCAGAAAATGGGTATGTAACAATAGTACAATACAATACTTTCAATTTGTGTAGGAATCTAAATGTAGTCTCAGCTGCAGCAAAATAAAGCATTTTTGTCTCCTTAACATGTAATTCAATATGTTGTAAATATCACATTGTTGTTTTTTTTCCTGTGATATAGCTAATATTGTTACATTCCTATTACAAAAACTGGGTTTTAGTTGTTCTTGTAATAAAATAAAATAAGGGCAAGAGCAAATGTAACTTGATTTCACAACCCCCACAAGGCCTGCATTCTCATTTTATAAAAAGGGTGGATATTCCTATGATTATTTCATAAATTAGTCAGTGGCAAATGTGGGAGAGTTGCGTTTGCTGTTTGCTCTGCCGCTGGACTGAGGCGCCCAGTGAGTAATGTGCCTGTCCTCTGACCTTTGACCTCAGGCCTACCTGCAGCAAGCCCAAGACCTGGTCATTCTTGAGAGCATTATTCTGCAGACCCTGGGTAAGTATGGGAGAGACGCACAGGGTCAGTTTCTCCAGGCTCCTGCTTTACGGTGGTATCCATAGAATCCACAGAAACATTAAACACAGATTAAAGACGCACTGCGCAGCTTTTCTGGCAGAGGGTACACCACTTCCCTGTCACCATGGAGATGTTAATGCTTTGCCTGTATTGTTCCGCAGTATGGTATTAAACATATCTAGCTTGCGTTTACTTGATTACAAGTGTTTTAATTGCAAAAAGAGTTAGATCAGAAAATAGACTAACATAGGCTCCTTAACATCAACTTTTAAATGTCGTTTACTCATCACAAACATACCAGGAGTTTCTGTTTAGCACAGAAACCCTGCATATTTCTTTTTTTTTCTGTTTCTTGTTTCTCTCAAACAGAAAATACTTGACACCTTGTGATGTCATGTGGCATTACGGGAAGTGCTCCGCTGTGTTTTAAACTCCATTTACACTAGAATCATTTGGGTAATTTCAAATCTGAAATTGCCAATCTCTGCTGAACAAAAGGTAAAAGTAGCTGGCATCTTGAAAACTACTGCTTCATGACATCACAAGGTGGAACAGAGCATTTTGAGATGTAAAGACAGCCTAATAATGCTGTGTTACTCAAATATACTTTCTCAAGTTAAATACCATAATGTGGAGCATTCTAAAGCAAGGCATGCTATAACCTCTCCATGGACACAAGCTATTGGCAGACCCACCACCAGAAAAGTTACACAATGCACCTTTAAAGTAATAATAATGTTGTCAGTTTGCCTTACAGTCTAAATACAGCTGTTCCAACGAGTTTCATATTCAATTTTTGTCACTTCCATGCTATGTTATTTTCAGACGTTTCTAAGTGGGGATGTACTAAGGCTAATCTAATGTTAAACTGATAATAACTGAACTTTCTGGTTTACAGGGCTATCTAATCTTTTTGATGCAGAGAAAAGAGATGTGTTGACTTTATTAAAAATGTGTGTATAGTTAATCAGTTTATTTCTTCCTTTCCTTTCACAGCTTTTGAGATCACCATCGACCACCCACACACCCATGTTGTGAAGTGCACTCAGCTCGTTAGAGGTAGGTTTTGCAGACAGCATTTCAGTATGTGGATTCTGTCTTTTTAATATGATGTAACATTTTCTGTTGGTTGCATTTTATTCTTCCAGCGAGCAAAGACCTTGCCCAGACTTCGTATTTTATGGCAACAAACAGGTATCACCAATTAATGTGAGCTGAACTGAACTGTGTGTGGATAAACTAACAAATGCAACTTTTGTATTAACAATTATCGAAATGATTGTATTTTATTGTACTTTAAAAATGTTTTGTCACTTTGTAATTGTAATAAACCACAATCATAAAAGGTTAGGATTTCTAGCAATAAGTTCAGATAGTGGACAGGGCCCTATTTAAGTCTGTGTGAGATCCACAAATGTTAAATCTTATTATTTTGCTAGGTCCATAAACTTACCATGTTTAACTCTTTTACTTTTAACTGATAGCATTCATGCATTTCTGATTTAAACTGCAACCACATTTTGAAGCAATTGTTAAGATTATTTCACTTTTGTTTATTTATACTGTCAGAGAGGACGTTGAACGTTGTGCTAGATTTTGTTTCATGTGGATAGGCCCAGTAATTACAGAGATATGACACAGAAACCAAGTTGACAAATTGGCAATCTAACAGTTAAACGGCAAATTCCACTTATAGACTGTATAAAAGAAATGGACTGAACGAGTGTGACCTCACCCATAGCGTTCAAAATTTTGATGGACAAAATAGTGGGGAAAAAAAATTCAGGATCATGTAGAGTGGGTTAATATGAACATTTTAAGACCAAAATGACAAGGCTCACTGCAGCAGTTACAGTTGGAGCCAGAGTCAGAAGGAGCCACACTTCCTATTTGGCACGCTTCGGCAAGTGCGTTAGCTATGTCCACTCATATATACGGTCTATGATTCCACCATAGAATTCTTACCTGTCATTAGCTCAGTTTTAACTATAAGCCCTTTTTAATGTGATGCCGTGTGAATGCAACCAATTGAGTGCATGAACTGTGATTGCAAAAATAATATGTCAAATAGTTGGTATCATTAACAAACCAGTTCTGTCCTTCTCTTATCCACAGCCTTCACCTGACGACGTTCTGTCTGCAGTACAGCCCCCCAGTGGTGGCCTGTGTGTGCATACATTTGGCCTGTAAATGGTCAAACTGGGAGATCCCTGTGTCTACAGACGGGAAGCACTGGTGGGAGTATGTCGACCCCACAGTCACCTTGGAGCTGCTGGATGGTAAAGTCAAGTCTCTGAAAAATGTGTATAACCTCTGTGATTCTGATCAATTACAACAAGGGCTAAAGCAAGACCTATTTCGTAGAATGTTCCTGGGCCCTTTAGTGCAAGATTGCGCTGTGTTATTCTATTGTGACATTGCCTAAATGTGACAGTAAAGCCCCATGGATCTACACCTAATTAACTGAATAACTCTTGTGTCATAATAATTTTGTGAATCTATGCACAATGCACTACTTAAATCTTGCGCCTTGGATCAATTGTTGATGATCAGTATTCTTTCTGGGCTCACTATATAGATACTTCAAATGTGATGATAAGCATCAGCAATTTACATCATGCCCAGATTATGTGATGAAATGTTAAAACATGGGATTAGTTATAACATTGAGATGATCTTGAAAAGTCATACCAGCTCCACAGTCTAATTTGTTGTCATTTATATTTTTAGAGCTAACTCATGAGTTCCTTCAGATCTTGGAAAAGACACCTAGCCGTCTAAAGCGAATCCGCAACTGGAAGGTATGTTTTCATAAACCTTTAAGCCATTTCCATTCAAATGATAGATTTCTAACATTTTTTGGTCGCCAATTTTTCTAGGCTGGAGGACAGGCACCCAAGGTCAAGCCCAAAGTGCAGGAGGAGGGAGATCAGAGGGATACCATGATGAATATGATCTCCATGGCTTCGTCAGAGAGCACTGTCGCCGGGCTCATGAGTCTATCCGCCCCTCCCTCTTCGGATAAAGAAAGGACCACCCCAGGAAGTGCCCAAAATTGGAGCGGGAAACCACAGGGAGCAGTAGACCAACCCACTGCCAACAGCGAAGTCCACACTCCCGCCAAAGTCTCACTAAGTGAATATCGCGCCAAGAATGCTGATGTTTTGGCCGCCCAGAAACGAAAACTGGAAAACATGGAGGCTAGCGTGAAACGGGAATACGCAAACGCAGCCCAAGCTCTGATAGGACAGCAGCACAAAAAGGAAAAATCTCACCATCACCAGCAATCCTCCACGGCTCATTCTAGCTCTTCAGATAACCCTTCTCCAATTATTCTCAAAATCCCGCTTGAGAAAGAACGGCATGATCGCAGCTCCTTAAAAATGCGTTTTCCACTTGCTTCCAGTGGTGGTGGTTCTAGTAGCAGCAGCAGCAGTCACAGTACAAATAGTCGTGGACAAGATCAAGATATTAAAATGAAAATCCGTGTGCCTGAAAAGCAGAAGGTTGGTTCTGGAGAGGAAGGGAAGAGCAGGGATAAACATAGGGATAGGTCCAATCACCATCACCACTCTCACCACCATTCACACCATCATTCCTCCTCTAGTAGTGCCTCAATGTCCTCCTCCTCTCATAAACATTCGTCCAGTTCTAGTAGTGCAACAGGAAGTAAAAAATCCGCCAATGACTCTTCTAGATTGAGCTCGTCTTCTGCATCGCGAAAAAGACCGCATTCTCAAGACCCAGCCACTACTTCAACGTCATCTTCATCACACGCCAAAATGAGCAAATCTGTGAATAACCCGTACAAACTTCCGTCAATGTCTTCCTCTGCAGGCCAAGGCGCCGACATGCTCCCCGCAATCGGACTCCCACACGCACCTGGGAGTTTCGGGAAGGGTGACAAAACGGACACGAACGGACATGGAGGAGCAGCGGGAGGGCAGTCGAATGAATTTCAAGACACTTTTGATATGTTGAATTCGTTGTTAAGTGCACAGGGGGTTCAACCATCTCAGCCGGCCATGTTTGATTATAGACAGCAGTATGGGGAATACAGGTTTAGTGCAGGGTCGAGAGGAGGCAACCAGCGCCCCCCTCCCCTGCCCTCAGAGCCCCCCCCTCCTCTGCCGCCTCTGCCCAAATGAACGATGTAAAGGTGAAAGAAGAGCTGCACGATTTCAAGTGAAACAGTAAAGTTTGGACTTAATAAAAATCTTGAATAAAATCCGCTTTATTTCACATGTCACATTTTTATCAGATGGAGAACATTGCGATATATATAGTATGTTGCGATCAGTCAATATCGGAATACCAATACTTTTGCGTTTTATCGTGCAGCCCTAAGTGTAAGCATCCATCATGTTACAGTATTGTACATTTTTGCATTTTAGAATTTGAAAAAGTTCTTTGGGTCTTCAGAGTGACAGCGATGAATTGTACAGAGGTTTTTAGTTTGTAATTAGTGTTATCTAATGGGCCTGAAAATATGAGGAAAAAGTGTAAATAATTTAATTCGTCAGTGAAATGGAATGTGCTGATGAGGGAGACGGGATTTTCAATTTCAGAAGATTTGTCCAAAAAAAAAAGTTAAAATGGATTTACGCCTGTCGGATATTATTACGATTGTCTTTTTATAATGTTTTTATAGTATATTATTTATTGAATGTTTTTAAGAGGATCTTGTCCCCATCGCTCTGCCCATTCGGGAAGGAGGGACGTGACAGTCAAACTGTGCATGCTCCACGGCCATCTTTTATATTTTTGGTCCTTTCTCCAAAAACTAAAATTTTTGGGAAAAAATTACTCTGATTTTATTTCATGCCATTTAGCAGATGTGTATAAATATTTTAAAGTGCAAAACATTTTGTTAAAACTTGCAAAAAAATATGTAAATTAAGAAAGTTTGTACTTTTTAATTTTTAGTTTTGATGTTGCAGTCATTGTTTTAAATGGTTGTAAAATAGAATTTCTCTAATGTGTTATTCACACTAATGAAAAAAGGTTAATACATATGGGGTTCTCACATATCTGCAGGTTTATGAAGACGATGGCCTTTTGTGAAAGAGTTGTAGCATGGTTCATATCCATGAGACATTTTATGGTTGAGATTTTAAATATGTATTATGCTCCGTACAATGCTACCATGTATTTTAAATCCATAGAGCTCTGAATAATCAGAGTTGACGTCTAAAATGTCAAGTCTTTTTGTAAAAGTGCACATCTGTGTATGCAGGTGTGGTGTTATTATAAATGCATTAAGCATTATTCAAAGCAAACGTGTTCAGTTTTAAAATGTTCATTCACCCTCATGCGTTTAGACATATTCAGTCTTTGCTGACTTCATTTGGCCCTAAATGTACATTGTACTTATGTGGTTTTAGCTATACATTTTACATGGTTCATTCTGTTATGGTTGTAATAGTCTTGAACTTTTCACAGTTGTTTTTCTATTTTCATTTTTGTCATGTTTTTCTCAGTAAAAGAACTTTATGCTACGAATACAACTCAGGCAGTGGATTTAAAATGTAATTATTCTGAGCTGGATTACTTTCCTTACAGAATAGTGCACATCCTGTTGTTAAAGTTGGGTTGAAACTATTTAATTCACCCTGTCACATGTTTATTAATAAAAAAAAAAAATACATTTCAGTCTAAATGCTTTTGCAAGGATCGACACTCATGCAACTGAACAATGCAACAGTCAACGCTCCATTTCTGTCGAAGTAATGTCCTTCATTCACGTCTTGTTCAAAAGTTGTTGACACTCAGGTCTGGAAATAACTTGTTTTCCCTTCTGTCAAAATGTCTGTGAATACGGTTCTTTTTGATATAATGTGGTTGCTTTATTCCCAATCAAAGTCAATAAATATTTTATGGAACACCGACTTTATTTTATTACTTTGAAAGCGCAAAAATACAATTAGATTAACATTAGATTGGATTGTTAAATTCCACACGTTGAGCTGTACTAGATTAGTGATTGATCGACAGTTATCCAATGAAAAATCTTGAAGTGGACGAACAGCCAATGAAAGCACTGAGCAGGCGGGCACTGTGTTTCACCAACCAATTACAGCGGTCGGGAGGCGGGCGCTGTGTGTTGCAGAGGCTGTGGCCGTTACAGCCGTTGTGTATTCTTCCCGGGAGGGGCTCAGAGGGAGCATCGGCCAAAAAAAAAATAGGTAAGCGCCTAACTAAACTATGCTATTTCGTCTCATTTTGTAGTTCGAAAACTTTAAACATAAATTACTGAACATTCGCACAATATAATCCACCAACGCAGCTGCTGTTGACTGTATAAATAATTTGTCTGCTAAAGGCTACGATTAGCATCTGCTAAACCAAGATGGCGGTATCAGTGAAGTGACGCAGCTCAGAGGCGGGATGAGCCACAGGGGCGCTGCTTTGAGAGCTCAGAAAAACAGGGAAACTGTCATAGTTTATTGACTATCTAACCAGCTTAAAGTAGCTTCATATTTACAATTAGACTGCAGAGATCTGTGAAATTCCTGTATAACCAGAAGCAGACATGCAATCATTGCGGAGTCTTGAATCTGCAGTGCAATGATTAACTGTGCCATAAATGGCGTGACAGCAACTCAAGATAAAGACAGACAGTCATTTACTCCGGAGGTCCAGTTGTAAACGAGTGTATTTCTTTTTTTTGCAGGTTTACAATGAACCGGATCAGGATCCACGTGCTGCCCTCCAGTCGGAGCAGAGTGCCGCAGCCTCCCCGCCTTCAGGAGCAGATGACCTGCGCTTACGTCCTGCGCCCCTGCCCTCAACCCAGACTGGAGGGTCAAGAATTCTGCATCAAACATATTCTGGAGGACAAGAGCGCACCGTATAAACAGTGCAGTTATGTGTCCTCCAAGAATGGCAAACGGTGCCCCAATGCAGCCCCAAAGATGGAGAGGAAGGATGGGTAAGCACCAAACCTGTCATCAGTACACATTTTTAAGTGTAATATAGTGCTGAAGAAAATATAAACCATTAATGATCATAGAAAAACAAATTCATGCCACAGACATAATCCTAAAGCAATAGCATTCCTCCAAAATGTCCTAAATGTACAATATTGTAAAAAAAAAAAAATTTGCAGATTGAAAATGTTAAACGTTTCTTAGCCCCAAAGCTCATAGATACCATTTATTCAGCCTTCTACAGTTAGGATCTTGTCATAGTACAGAAAAATAAAACTTGCCAACCATACCAACTTTTCAACTACTAGCACAAAGAAAAACTATGAGTCTGTTTTGTATTTATAGTGACAGGCCCAGTCTTGTGTTTAATGAGACCAAACCTGAATATTCAAAGAAGATATAATTTGTATAGCATTGTATAATCCTAAATGTTTATCTCCAGTGTGGCCTTTTGTGCTGAACATGCACGGAGGAATGCTCTGGCACTCAGGGCTCAGATGAAGAAGGCATGTTCAGCTCCTTCAGCTGAAGGTCTGCTGTCTCAGCTCAGCGGGTACCACCGCACAGATGCCCACAGCCTGGATGGCCGCTCAGAGGCCAGTCGCATCCTAGGTCTGTCTCACACTCATGTTTATGTGTTTTGTAATGATTGCCATTTTATTTACCTTTTGTTTCCCATTGCTGTGTGTGTCCTGCAGAAGAGGACAGTTTAAGTGAGGAGGAGCAGAATCCTCTGGGGCTGGATCAGACCTGGAGAGGGGAGCCGGACAGTGAAGCAGATAGCAATGACAGTGAACACGAGGATCCACTCAAGTAAGACCTTAACTCAGCCTGGCTATAAAGACATGAATCTTTTGTATATTCTATACCCCTTCCCCCTCTGTACCATTCATAGACAGGACAAGTACTGTGCAGTCATGCTAGTTTTTTGTACTGATTGTGCACATGTTTGTTGATCAAGATGGATGCAATATTGCTGCATGAGTAATTTATTTTTGAGTAGAATTTCTTAAGCCTATGGGAGCAGTTTGGAGTGAGTTGCCGATGGCAGCAATCAGTTGGGGACCATGTGTTTTGTGCTTTCACTGATATTTCCCTTCCTGTTTTCAGACACGCCGGAGTGTACACAGCCGAGGAGGTGGCTCTAATAACTCGAGACAAACTGATCCGACTCCAGTCTCTTTACATTGATCAGTTCAAACGGCTCCAGCACCTGCTCAAAGAGAAGAAACGCCGCTACCTCCACCACCGCAAGGTGGAGCACGAGACGCTTGGTGAGGGGCAGATAATACAGGTGTTTTGTGTTTGTGCTGTTTATGAGAACTTCTGAACCGGGAGCACTTCCGATTTGTTCTCCATGATGGCAGCCATTAGCTGGCATGGGGCAGTGATTTCAACACACGTATTTCACTGATGTTTTCTGAAACAAAATCCAGAGCAGTCAATCACCAGTAATGTCAGCCTGTAATTTTATAATGCGTTAAATAATAAATAATGGTTTTATGTAGCCAGCTGCCCTGGGGTAGACTTACTGAAACAAGGCTAATCTGCACCTCAGCTGTTGTAGCAGTTTTCAGATTGTCCAAAAAAAGGTGGAAGTAAAAGGCTGAAGAGCAACTGGATGTCTTAAGCAGCCGATGTTTATTTACCATCAATAATACGGGTCCGGGAGGACTTGAAAAGTCAACATAGTATTATTTCCAAAGTGAACATGGTATGATCTTTGAGTGTTCAAGCTATGCTTCTGGAGGAGGAGGTTTATAAAGCAAGTGTGGTGAGCCTATGAAGGCCAGTAGGCACCGGTTAAACAACAATATGCCAGAATTTGGATAATGGTATACCAAAGGAAGATGATCGTGTTCCTATAACTCCTGTGAGTCGATGTTAAACTGAGAGATGTACATGGAGGATAAATTACTTAAATTCTCTTGCAATTTCTCTGACATCAGCCCCTCCAACCACCTCCATATTTCAGTAACAATTTTGTACAGCCCAAAAATCGCAACCGCAGTCGCTTCGCAGAGCTTTAACAAACAGGAAATTTGAAAATCAAACGGTTACCACATTCACACTAGGAAAGAGACTTTATTATCCCCCAAATCAGGACAGCAGTAGCTCTACAGCAAACTTGTCACATCTTTGGCTAGGAGAATTTTGGTGATTTTACACACAGTGGACATCCATTACTATTTATCGTGTGCAATGGAAGTGGAACTTGGTATTATTAAATCTTCCCCTTTCTCACTTAAAGTAATTTTGTTTAGTCAGCAGTAGGGGAGCAACGATGCACCGTGATTCTAAAATATGACCGTCCGCATCATCTAAGATGTGCAGTTTGATTCATTTAGACAGGCAGATGTTGCTGTTAACACTGCAGCGAATACCCAGGGCAGCTCAAACACAGGCTGAAGAGGCTCTAAAGCCACTTAAGACTCCATATGGTAAAACAAACACTATCTCTGCAATTAAAAATGTGGAAGAGTGGAAAAACTAACTTTAAACAAATTGGCAGAGGAACAGAGCCAAATGCGCTAACTTGTTTACAGATGTTGAGTAGCCATATGCTTGGGACAGGCTTCCCTTTTTTACAGGCCTCAAACATGAATAATATAGTGAAAAAAATCGGGAGTTAAACATCATTTAATGTCACTGTGGGATAGTTTAAGACATTATTTTATAATTTTACCAGATAATCTATAAAAAAGGCCTATTTAAAAATACCTTCATAATTTGTTGTAATTTTTTTAAATTTGAGCTAAATTTTAATATGTAATTATAAGACACAGCCTAAATTGTATATAAAATCATTTTAAATTTAGAACATCAGGATGAGATTGCATAATAAGTGCATAATTTCTTAAATTTTATGTATTGTGGGGAATCCTGGGTGCTGTATCGTGAATCAAACCGTGAGATTTCTGAATCGTTACTAAGTATCCTAGTAAGTGGATGAGTGGTATAATTCTTTTTGTGGCACATCAGTTCTGGGTTTTGAGTTTAAATTGTGCTAATAGTTCAGTTTGTCGATAGTGGAGGCTTAGCTCTAAAGCTCTATATAAAGACGCTAACTGACCCCTTTGGTCCTTGTTTACTGTGACAGGGAGTAGTCTGCTGACCGGGCCTGAAGGTTTGTCCCTGAAGGAGCGCGAGAACCTGAAGAAGCTCAAAGCTCTGCGTCGCTATCGACGGCGATATGGCACCGAGGCCCTGCTCCATAGACAGCTGAGGGAGAGGAGACAGGCACTTACAGACGGCGCTCCTCAGGTACACTTATACTGTTGAATATAGTCAGATTTCAGATGCAGTATTCCTGGTAGGGCTGCATAGTTCACAGTGAATTTGAATGGACACAATTGGCAAACCGCAAAGGCTGCAAATTTTTCAGGACCATAATTTTCTTGACAAAGATAATCTCCTGCCTTATTTTTCTAACCCTGTAGTTTAGATCTGTACAAACATGTTGTATTAGTTTGACAAATCATATGTCATCGTTTTGTCAGTTCTGTTGGACATGTTTTAAGATGTGAACTTTGAACACAATCCTGTTAAAACAAATTCTACATCTAATATTTGACAGAAAAAATGCAGTTACATCTTTTTTCCCCAAACTGTGCAGCTCTTATTCTTGGAAATTTTAAAAGCAGCTTTCTTGATCCTCAAAATGACAAAAAGCATACAGTAATAAAATGTTAATAGCATGATGGTGAACATGAACTCTGTTTTCTTACAATATTGATCCGACCACACAATCTGCTGATTTACAATGGTAATTTAGTCCGACACCATTAATCACAACAGGAATCTGGGAAGCTGTACAATCTAAAACGGAAATGAATGGAATCCCTCACATTCAAGGATTACACTGTAACTTGTGTTTTTTTTTTTTTATCTCCTCAGCCGTATGTTCGAACAGTGACAGAAATGTGTGCCGCATTTGTAGACGGGGGACGCTGTTCTAACCCCTGTCTCCCCATGACCCGACACTGCCTCACACGTATCCTTCTGATTCAGTATCACAAAGTGTAATTGTGTCAGAAAGTGTCAGTTGTCAATGACATTTACTCAGAGAACTTGAAAAAATTCTTCTCATCAGGATGTAGCAATACTTATGTGATGGTAACCTTGTGGTAAAGCAAATGGTGCAGTGTTTGGGACATGGTTCTGCTTTCTTCTGAGTGCTAACAAAACTCAAGGACATTGGAGAGGACATCTCTTTTGCCTTCTGTTACTGTATTTGTTACAAGGCAAGGCAATATGACAAAACAACAGACAGAGCAGTGGCTGTAGTCCTCCATTAAAAAGAGCCAAGCTGATCATTGATATTTAGAAATGACCGGATCTCTTAGCTTTTTTCCCCATGTAGTTTGGCATGGTCAACCTATTCTTTTCAATACATTTCCGTCCTCCTCTTTTCTCCATCCTCCCCTTTCATTTTCATAAACTTGGCCCCAATCAAGACCAGCCGTTTGCAGTAGCCGCTGGTTTCACGGGGCCCACAGCGACTCCTTCCTGTGGTCTGTTGGTTTCTCCCAGAGTCTCAAAGGGGCTAATCAATTCAGTTGGAAGGCACAGACATCCTTCCTTTATCTGCCTTTACTCTTTTCAAACCCCTTTTTCTCCCATTCTGTTTCAGACTGTATTTATACTAGTAGATTGATCCTTTTAAGTAGTTTAAGTTTTTATTATTTTTACATGGGGTTGCATAATCATTTGATCCTCTTTTTTTTTTTATTATTATTGTTTTATATAACCTAGTACATTTGAATCTGGCTGCCATTGTTTTTAACTTGTTAGAAACAGTGTCACAGTATGTTTTATTAAGGGAATTTGCAAGTTGGATTTCTTCAACAGCTTCCCCATAGTATCCCAAATATTATAGCAAAAACCCTTAATACTATTAAGTATCTCAATCATTGGCCCATGTATCTGACCCCAGAGCACTGAGACCACAAACCCACAGGAGAATGTGGGTTTGAATGGACAAAAATGCATTTTTATTTTTTTTTTTTTTGCAACTTTATTTTTATTTGCTTTTTAACAGAAAAGATTTTTTTTTTTAAGAAAAGAAAAGGTAACAACATAAAACAATAGAGAACATGAGGTATTGGGAGGAGGAGTATTACCAGTGCAAAGAAAAGTATGTGTTGACCAACATAATTTCAGTGTCATAAAAGATTATTCAAATTCCACAGCTCCTAAATGTAATCCACTTCCCCCAGAGCTTCTTAAATTTTGAGACCTTCAATCTAATGTTATAAGTTAACTTTGCCATGAGGTGAATATTCTCTACAATGTTTATCCATTGTCCTTGATTCGGAGCAACCGGGTTAAGCCAGAGTTTTGTAATTGCCTTTCTAGCTGCCGTCAATAAAATCTTTGTCAGATAAATGTCCTCCTTTTGTACAAAATCTGCCATGTCTCCCAAGTACTTAACAGTGCATTCGTTGGGAATGTTGTATCCCAGGACTTTTTGAAGCAGTTTGTTGATTTCCAACCAGTAGACTTGGATCTTCGGGCAAGTCCAAAAGATGTGCGAGTGGTTTGCGTCCAAGTGACCACAGTTCCTCCAACAAGCCTGTTGGATTCCAAGATGTTTACTTTTAATATGGGGTGTGATGAAGAATCTTATCAAGCATTTCCAATTAAATTCCCGCCACTGCTGTGGACTTGTACAAGTTTGGAGTGATTTACACATTTGGTACCAATGATCTTCTGTAATCAATATTCTTAACTCCTGTTCCCACTTTGTTTTCACATATAGTGAAGACACATTCAGATTGTCCATCAAACCATCATAAAGTTTTGACACAATCTTACTGTTTTTATTATGATAGGCACCACACATTATTTCAATAATTGGATTGACCTTGCCCAAAGACCTCTTTTTAATCTCTGTGTTGTAATAATCCCTTAATTGTAGGTATCTGAAGAAGTCCTGATTGTTTAGATTAAATGAATTCTTCAACTCCTGAAAGCTCTTTACCTCCTCATTTTTGATAATCAGGCAAAGAGCTGTTAAACCTCTGGCCATCCATTGTTTGAAAACAGAGTCATATATCCCGGGCCTAAAGTCCTTGTCTAGGGCTATCCATCTCAACATCCTCTGACTATTTTTTAGGTCTAATTGTTTCATTAGAGAGAACCACATTTCCAAAGAAAATATGGTTACCGGGTTAAGTATAGTTTTAATTGTGTCAGGTATACTGTTCTCTCCTAGCAAAGTTTGGACAGCATAGCCCTGTATGTTGGTCTCAATGTTCTTCCACCCCGCAGAGTATGAATTATCACACCAGAGAACTAGAGGGCGCACTTGTGCAGCTTGAAAGTACAGTTTTAAGTTTAGCAGAGCCATTGCACCTATATTTTTTGGCAGCTGCAAAGTGGAAAAACGTATTCTTGCTTTTTTTCCACCCCATATGAATCTCTATACCATTTTATCCCAAACTGCAAATTGCTGAGCATGAATTTCTATTGGGAGGGATTTAAATAAGTATAGTAACCTAGGGAGAATATTCACTTTTAATTACACTTATCCTGCTACTAAAATCCAGTGGGTAAGTTGACCGTCTGCCCAAGTCGTTTTTGATAGTGTCAGTCAGGGGGTTATAATTTATTTTGGAGAATGACTCGGGTCGTTTTGGAATATTCACACCCAGATATTTTATAGATTTTGTTCTCCAATTAACATTAAATTCCTTTTGAATTTCCTCACTAGGTGAGTAATTGAATTTGATCAGTTGAGTCTTATCGATGTTCAACTTGTATCCAGAACATTCATGGAATTTTCTTATTACTTCCAAAAGCTTTGGGAGAGAATTGTCCAGGTCTCTCATGTATAACATGACATTGTCTGCAAACAGGCTAATTTTGTGTTCATTTTCCTGAATGAGTATACTTTTTATTCCATCATCTTGACGAATTGCCTGAGCTAACGGCTCAATGTACAGAGCAAAGAGGGTGGGGCTTAACCCACAGCCCTGCCTGGTTCCTCTACTAAGGCAGAAGCGATCTGACAGAGATCGATTTACTTTTATTCTAGCTGTAGGACCTTGATAAATTGTCTTAATAATTTTTGTGACAAAAATGCATTTTACGAGTACTTTTGTATGTAACTAATGGGTCTAGATTCCAGGCATAATTCATGGTGTCTTAATCAACTAACAGCTCTAGAGAGTTGGTTACATCCTCCGTGTAATTAGCTTTCATTTAACAAAAACAACTCGATGGTCCTTAACTTGAGCACAGATATTCACCAGGACAGCAGCCAGGTTCTGTTCAGACTGTGCCCTGGTTTAAAGGACTTACCCTGTGACCGCACTGTCCATATGGGACAGTCTGAGGAGCCACGCTGCCCGCTTCACCTGCCCCTGCCCCCTCCTCTGTACCAGCCTGACGCACAACCGCCCCCTGCAACGGACCCACCCTCCACCAGAGACCTGTACCTGAGCGCCGCCGAGCTGCAGCCCACAGAGAGTCTTCCTCTGGAGTTCAGTGATGTATGTACTCCGTGTGAGCTGCAGTCTTATATTTGTACACTAAACTTGTTTCCTTATTTTTGTGGATTAAAACTACATAAAACTGGTTATAATCCCTATAACTATGACTAGAATAAGTACTTTTTTTTGTTTTTTTTTATTAAAAAAGCTAAACAAATGATAGAAAGGAGTGTGCACTATAGCAAATTATATAATCCCACACTATTTATCAGTTACATTATAAGTATATTTTCTGTTATGAATACTTAGACAAAATTGGCATGTTTTGACATTTTAATAAAAAAACATTTAAAAGAAAGACAACAAAAAAGACTAAGTTAAAATGTCTTGTCAAAAGTAACAATGCTCAGATTTTAGATGGTAAATTGGTAAAACCAAAATTCCAAATAACTGCAAAAATAAAAAATCTTTAAAAAAAAATAAAAATCTGGAATTCACTGTTTGTTGCTGTGATGCCATCCTCTATTTGTCTGTTTATCACTAAAGCCAGTAGAGGGCAACAGATGACTGTATGGTGGGAGGGCATCGGGCACAAGGATATATGAGGACAGAAAGCCATCTGACATATGGGTTATAGAAGCATGGGAGGGTATCTGACATAACTCTCTTGTCTCCCCCAGGACCTGGACGTAGAGGGAGATGGTATGCAATGCCCCCCCCTCCCCTCTGCAGTTCGACACAGCTCTGGCTCTGGAGGACCAGACGATCAGAGCCATCGCAGAGGCCCCCATGGACATCCTCACTGGAGAGACCCCCGATGAGCTGGAGGGGTCCGGCCTCAGTGAGAGGGATGTTGACTCCATCATCGATGATCAGGTACAGTAACAGAGTAAATACAGCGATTACAATTTCCCAACCGTGATATCCAGAAGATATTATGACAATCAGAAATGATTGCTATAAAATAGTATATACAAAGTATATACAGTGATGTTTCAGCAGTTTTAGTGTAATTGTCACAAATCAGCTTTTTTTTGCAACGTTTTAAAGTTTTTTTGTTTTCCTCCAAAACACCCATTGTGATTTTTTCCAAATACCCCACGGTTATCAAAAGATGACTAAACTGGATTAAATTAAGCCTACGCAGGACCTGTATTAAATCTGATCTTTTGAATAAGTCTAAATTTGAAGAGCACTAAAATGCATAAATCAGCTCTAGACCAGGACTAGAACAGGGATAAATCAGAACTATGAACTACCAATGCTTATTAACAGATCTATTGCAGTAATCTGAAATGCCTCTCATAGAACCACAGAGCTGGAATACCACTTTTGTGTCATAAATTTGCTTTTATCTGACTTTAACTAAATGCGTGTACAGCTCAAAGTGTTTGTTTAAAACTGGCATTCATAGATCTTTTTTTTGTACAGGTGGTGTCAGAGGTGATCAGAGCCGAGGAGGAGGCCACAGATAACTCTCTTCAGGATCTGGACGGCTCCACAGCTCCAAGATGATCCATCCAATTACAGACCTACAGTCACATTTACACTAACCCTCTGTGAATCAGATGGGCTCGTCTACAGACTCACTTTTATTCACATCAAAGGGAATTTGACTTAAATAGATGGAGTAATATAACCGTAATGATTGAATTCAAGTTAAGATTTGTTTAAAATGTAAAATACTTGAATTGGACACTATTAATTTGAATCACTGTTCATTAAAAACAACATTCCTTCAAAAAAGCTCTTTATTGTGCATTTCATTGCTTCTTCCAGTGTTGTGATTTTTGGGTAAAAATATAAGCAACCTAATACCATCAAAATATTGAAAGTTAAGTGATAAGTGGCTAAGATTTTATTTTGTACATGTTTTTACCTGGTTTATGGTTCACACCTCTAATTACTGCACCAATTCGCGCAAAACTGAAATGGAAAATAGATTTGGTTAAACAAAAGGTGACACTAAAGAAGTGAGTTGTGTAACCATGCAAACTAAACCCAGTTATAAAAAGATCAATGTGTTTTGTTTTTTTTGCATATTTCCATAGGATATGAACCACATAGAAAGCATTGTCCCCTGCCTTCCATCTGAAACTTGGAACATCAACTCTTGTGAGCTTTAAGTTGTGTTATGTTACCTTCTCATTAACATACCTAGAGTTGTGTTTTGTTTCATACAAGTTTGCGTAACCCCTAAAATGCTCTGTTCCACCTTGCGATGTCATGAAGCAGTAGTTTCACAATAGCTACCTTTTAGTTCAGTAGAGATTAGCAATACCAGGGCTGAAATTATCCAAATGATTCTTGTGAAAGTGTATGGAATTTAAAAACATAATGGAGCACTTTTTGTATTACCCCATGACATCGCAAGGTGGAACAGTGTTTTCAGTTTGAGAGGAGAACTCAGCCTAAATATGCAGGATTTGTGTGTTAAACATGTGAAAGAAACAAAACACAACTAATATGAGTCCTTTAAACTCTAAATCTTGGTAGACACAAAATCTTACAATTTAAAGGTGCACTCTGTAGCCTTTCTTGTGCTCATCTCCATGGTGATGCTACAGCTTTGTCTAAAATCCACAGTAGGCATTAAACTAATCTATTTAGCATTTAATCAACTAAAGGTGATGGTCATGAGCGCTGGGTAGTGACCGAAAGGACGAGATCGCGGATACAAGCGCTCGAAATGAGTTTCCTCCGCAGGGTGGCTGGGCGCTCCCTTAGAGATAGGGTGAGGAGCTCAGTCACACGGGAGGAGCTCGGAGTAGAGCCGCTGCTCCTCCACGTCGAGAGGAGCCAGTTGAGGTGGCTCGGGCATCTGTTCCGGATGCCTCCTGGGCGCCTCCCTCGGGAGGTGTTCCGGGCATGTCCCGCCGGGAGGAGGCCCCGGGGAAGACCCAGGACACGCTGGAGGGACTATGTCTCTCAGCTGGCCTGGGAACGCCTCGGGGTCCCCCTGGAGGAGCTGGAGGACGTGTCTGGGGTGAAGGAAGTCTGGGAGTCCCTGCTTAGGCTGCTCCCCCCGCGACCCGGCCCCGGATAAGCGGACGAAAATGGATGGATGGATGGATGGAAAGGTGTTTATTGGTAAAATATATAATACAGATCTGACATGTAACTTGGACCGGTGGCTCGTCTCTATGGAAACGGCTATGAACCGCAGTATGGCATTAAACTTTTGCAGACAAATTGATGATCGTAGCATCGTCATGAAAACAAGCACTTGGCAGACTCTTATGAAAAATTAAGTAGTGCGCCTTTAACTCGTTATTTGAATGTTTTTATTTTAACTTATTTATAATTATTTTAACTAAAAAATCTTGCCTTTTTATTTGAGAACTTAAAATCACTCAATAAATAATTATGCCACCTTATTAAACAAAACTAATAAAAGATTTAATGCGCATATGCCACTTTTAAAGAAGTCATCACCGGCATACAAAAATCCTCCGAAAAAAAATTGGGGCGGGTAATGTAATTTCATGCAATGACATCACTTTTCCTGGACTCAAAGAGCGCACGGCGAGATACGGAGGGGCCGCTGCGGAGAGAGGAGTCAGAGGACGGCCACACAAAATGCTCATTCACCGCTGGGAATGTACCGACACCGGACCGTAGTTTTGCATGAACCCGCTATGGCACCGCTGCGTCTTCGATCAAGCCTATCCAAATGAGGTAAGTTCGCGTAATTACCGTTTTTGTGCCATTTTTGTGCGCTATGGAGCAGAGTAGCAGCAGCAGAAGAAGCAGAGATTTTGGCTAGACACCGGACGTACCTTTCATTGTTAAACACCGTTAGCAAAACAGAGCAGCGAGATTACCTGAAAACGTGCACAGAAACGTAAATAAATGGTTGTAGAATGGTGGTTTGGGATGCGTTTTAACCAAGCGGTGTGCGTAAGGGCGTAACAGCGCTAGTGGTTTTGTCGGAGGGATACGTTTTAGCGCACACTTTGGATTGCTTGGCCTTCTTTTGCTCGAATAAAGGACATTTGTGCACAGTTCCTCCTTTTATTACAATGTTGTGGTCTGACTGCATTGTGCTAGCGTAAACATGCGGCTAATTTGAGGTTTAAATGCGTAAAAAGTGCCGTACGTGTTTGACCGCCTCCCTCGTGTTAATTCGTTGATGATCTTGTGTGTGGTCACTATTGTCGCCAGTCTCGTGTTGTTCCCAGCTTCTGAAGAGTAATTGAGCAGTAATTATTGAATGAACGCCACGAAGATGGCAAGAAACGGGCCCCTGCAGTGAATTTAAGGCTTACTTTCTTACAAATTTAAGACTATTTAATCTATTTTACTTGCTCTGTATTAGTGGTCGATAGATGTCCTGGTTAAGATCTTTTTAGTTCTAGTTTTGTGCTAGTTTAGACTTTGTTCATTGTTTAGATCTGGTTAAAGCCATAGTATGTAACATGTTGGCCAAAGTGGGCTCAAATAAAAGCATGTTTTTTCACTATGGATGTTTTTATTGCAGTTAGAAAAAATACACTGAAGAAAACGTGTTCTTACTGTGAGTGGGCTTGCATCTCCACAAACCTGACTTTTATTTGTCCTGGCAGAGGGCACAGAAAGAAAGTTACATACTGTAACTTTAAGTAGGCCAATATACAGTCGTAGTTTGGATCTGGTTCCGACCTGGTTTAATCCTTTTGTCCAATCCTAGTTTAATTTTGTCCAGACCTGATTTAGTTTTAGTTGAAACCTGGTCCTAGACTGTTTAGATCTGGTTCAGTCTTAGGACCTATTAAGTTGGAGCATCAAAAAGTGCACAGTAATGATGTGAAATACAATAAAGTCCTAGTTTAGTCCTAGTTTAATATTAGTTTAATCCTGGTTTAGTCCTGGTTTAGACCTGATTTGGACCTGGTTTAGTACTGGTTTAATCCTGTGTTTTGTAACGTAACCTACGTGGTCCAACCAGAGTAATCAGAACACTTTGAGTTGCATTATATGATCTATTTATCTGTTAGGCCAGGATTAAACAAGAACTATACCAGGACTGAAGCAGGACTAAATCAGGACAGGGCCAGAACTAAACTCATGTTTTTCTCACTAATAATGTGCAGTTTTAAGCATCATGTTGTTACTTACTGCAATGTCTTTTTTTTACTCTAGATCAGTATCTCTTTTCTGAAACAGTATTAGTACATGTATTTACTTCCCATCACTGCCCGCTAATGACCTGACTTTATTTTTAGTCCTTGTTTAGATCTGGTTTAACGGTAGTTTAGTTCCTCTTTAGTCCTGGTTTACGGCCAGGTTTTGTTTCCAGACAGTTCTCGCATTCACAATAAACATTTAGAAGAAGTCTGCAGCTCTCAGACTTGAATAACCTGCAAAACACACAGGTCTACAACACACTACAACTACACACATGTCATGGACAATATCACAGTTTCATTCATTCACCGCTGTTAGACCTAGACTTAGACAAACTTTATTGATTCACAAGGGAAATTATTCGGTTACACCACTTCCAAGTTTTCATGTTTCATCTTACGCCAAAAGAATATGGTTTGGTGTGCCTGATTTATAAACAAGGTACTGTATGTGTTGCATCAATTTTTAAGTTCAGTTCTGGTTTAGTTCTTGGTCAGTCCTGGTCCAGTCCTGATCCAGTCCTGGTCCAGTCCTGGTTCAGTGCTGGTTTAATCCTGGTTTAGTCCTGGTCCAGTCCTGGTCCAGTCCTGGTCCAGTCCTGGTCCAGTCCTGGTCTAGTCCTGGTTCAGTCCTGGTTTAATCCTGGTTTAGTCCTGGTCCAGTCCTGGTCCAGTCCTGGTCCAGTCCTGGTCCAGTCCTGGTCCAGTCCTGGTCTAGTCCTGGTTCAGTCCTGGTTTAATCCTGGTTTAGTCCTGGTCCAGTCCTGGTTCAGTCCTGGTTCAGTCCTGGTCCAGTCCTGGTCTAGTCCTGGTTCAGTCCTGGTCCCTGGTTTAGTCCTGGTTCAGTCCTGATTTGTACTGGTCCAGTCCTGGTTTAGTCCTGGTTCAGTCCTGATCCAGTCCTGGTCCAGTCCTGGTTCAGTGCTGGTTTAATCCTGGTTTAGTCCTGGTCCAGTCCTGGTTCAGTCCGGGTCCAGTGGTGGGTTAGTCCTGATTTAGTCATGGTTTAGTCCTGGTTCAGTCCTAGTTGTCCTGATCTAGTCTTAGTCCACTCCTGGTTTAGTCCTGGTCCAGTCTTAGTCCACTCCTGGTTTAGTCCTGGTCTAGTCCTGATCCAGTCCTGCTCCAGTCCTGGTTAAGTGCTGGTTTAGTCATGATTCAATCCAGGTCTAGTACTGGTCCAGTCCTGGTTTAGTCCTGGTTTAGTCCTGGTCCAGTCCTGGTCTAGTTCTAGTCCAGTCCTGGTCCAGTCCTGGTCCAGTCCTGGTTCAGTCATGGTCCATGGTTTAATCCTGGTTTAGTCTTGGTTTAGTCCTGGTTCAATTCTGCTTTAATCATTGTTTGGATTTTCTTGATTTAGTCCAGAGAGTTTCTGCACTATTATACAATATATACTAGAACGTTTTATACAGTAAAGTACTAGAAAACCATGTATTTCTATAAAGCTAGATTCAACTTGTTTACGAGTCAAAATCCTTATAATCTCAAGAAAATGATTGTGGACTAATACACATTTTGGACTCCATCATCCGATTAAACGACAAAACAACTAAACAGTTCTCACAGCAACATAATTTCACTTTTGTTGAAAATTTGAAATCTCTCCAAATTTTTGTCTTTATATTGAGCTGGATTACTGTGAACACTGGCTCTTTTCTTCTCACATTTTCAGATTTTTCTGGTCATGAGGAGTGCATTGTTCCTAGTTTGTTTTGACATTGCGGAGATGTTATAGCCCATAAAACATGTGCTAGTGATTCACACAGGTTATTGGCTCAAATGAAGGATTAGACCAGATTTCAGCTATCTCAAATATTTCACTAATTATCGTAGGCTGCTTTGTAATGAGAAAAACCTGCACTTTTTATAGAGCTGTTCCTCATGGAATCAAGGAAATATGTTTTACTGCCTTTTCTTTAAATACCACTTTTGTAGGAAGAATATTTCGTATTTTTATTATAATGAAGGGAATGCGTAGCCAGGTTGTAAAAACTAAAACTGCATTGAAGCGCTTTGAAACTTTCTGATTTATTCCATGTCAGAATTCACTGTTGATGTAACTTTGCAGGAATCTTGTTGTTTTTGGATGAAAACAAAAGTAATATTTGGCCTGACGATGCCCTGTGCTAATACTGTCCACCTGATAAGACCTATGGAATTATAAACCAGGACTAAACCAAGACTGAATCAGGACTAAACCAGGACTAGACCAGAACTGGATCAAGGGTGGACCACAGACAAAACCATGACAGAACCAGGACTTAACCAGGACTGAACCCGGAATAGACCAAAATGAGACCGGGACTGAGCCAGGATTGGACCAGGATTGGACCAAGACTAGAACATGACAAGACGAACAGGACTAGACACGGACTGAACCTGGACAAGACCAGTAGGCAGGACAAAAATAGGGTTATATCGAGACTATGTACAAGGACTTGACCAGAACTTAACCAGGACTGAATGAAGGCAGGACCAGGACTGAACCAAGACTAGAACATGACTAAAAGAACAGGACTAGACAAGGACTGAGCCAAGACTAGACCAGTAGGCAGGACAAAAACATGGCTACATTGAGACTATGACCAAGGACTTGACTAGGAATAAAGCAAGACTGAATCAAGCCTGGACCAGGACTGAACCAGGGCTGAATCAGGACTGAAACAAGACTAGAACATTACTAAAAAAAAAAAAAAAAAAACAGGACTAGACAAGGACTGAACTAGGACTAAACCACAACTAAACCAGGCCTAAACCAGGACTAGACCAGAAGTGGGTCAAGGGTGGACCATAGACTGAACCAGGACTGAACCAAGACTGCACCTGGACTAGCCCAAAATGAAACCAGGACTGAGCCAGGATTGGACCAAGACTAGAACATGACTAGAAGAACAGGACTAGACAAAGACTGAACCAGGACTAGACCAGAAAGCAGGACAAAAACAGGGCTACATCAAGACTATGAAAAATAATTTGACAAGGACTAAACCAGGACTGAATGAAGGCTGGACCAGGACTAAACCACAACTAAACCAGATCTAAACAAGGACTAGACCAGAACTGGGTCAAGTGTGGACCACAGACTCAACCAGGACTCAACCAGGACTCAACCAGGATTGAACCAGGAGTTTAGACCTCTGTAAACATGTTCTGAAATACACTAATTCTTGGATTCATTTAACAGTTCAGATTTCAGTCTTATTTTATATACTAAGATAAAAAACAAATCCCAAATGTAATCGCTTTCTAAACTTGTCCCAAAAATCCCACTTGTAAACTCTCCACCCATGATTGAACCTCACGTTGGACTTCTCTTGGCTTTCACTGAGAGCTGCATGTTCAGACTTCGGCACATTACATCATTTAAATGGTGACATATCCTGATGTAATCCCTTTCTCTCCTCCTCTCTCCATTCATCCCTCTCTCTCTGCTCTATACCTCCACCCTCTCTCCTCTCTTCTTTTCCTCTCTTCTATACCTCCGTCTCTTTCTCTTTTCTGGCTGAGTTTATTTGTAATGCCTCACATGTCTCTCCTCTCTCCTTCTTTACCTCTCCCTTTTCTCTCTCTCGT